TGCTTGGAGTCGCTCTTTCGACATCTATTCCAAATGAATAATTGTTAAACGGTTGACTCTACTCCACCTTGCCGAATATTGGATAAGCTAATCTTTGCCCTGGGTCGTGTAACGAATGGTCGCGGTAACATTGTACAGTACTTCCTGGACATATTTCTCGCACGTGGGAAGGGTGAATATCATTAAATATAAGAAAAGAAACGCGGCAGAGCCAGCAGGACTATCCGCGCCATCAAATTATCTTACCTTATCAGTCCTGAAGGCATCTAGGCAACCTTTGCACCCGAAAGAGGGGCTTAAAGCAGGTTGCGAGCTCAGTCCGGAATTGGTTTCGGCCATTGTCAGTTAAGGTGGAGGAGCCCTGGTCTGCGGGGATCAATGCAGTAATTTCGGGTCGTGGCTCTCTCGGGTCGTTGTCTGGAGAGAGGAAATCGGGCTGGGAGGGAGAGAAGGAGAGAAGTAGACGATAGAGCAGGGTGGGCGAGGCGACCGAGAGAGGGAGAGGGAAGCCAGCTCCGAGGAGAGGGAGAGAGGGAGATCATCAGATAGCTTTGGCCTTAATATCCCTCTCTGAGACTCGGAGACGAGAACCAGCATCCCTTAGTCCCGTCTCTCTGTGTCCAGACCATCCCTGTCCCCTCTATATACATACTACACATTCTCTACCCTTACGCTATCTGATTCAATCTTGGCCAGTGCTGTCGTGAAATCCGGTCGCGGCCGAGCCCAGGCCAGCTTCAATTCGATTAGGTACCCAACTCCGTACTATCCACCAGAGGTAATGAATGGTAACTCCATTAAAGGTGACGGAAGATGAAGGGTCTCGTTATTGACACCTTAACCGCCCGGAAGCTCCGGCTGCTGACGCGCACCTCCGGATGTTGCAGTAAAGTGCACCGATAATCTGGGGATTAATGGAGTATGCAATTAATCCATTAGTTTAACGGTACTTCCTTTATAGATTCCAACGATAACATCGTTTGGTAAAAAGGTAAGTTTGAGCAACCTTCTGTCTTCGTGGGCATCTTCGGTGGCTTTGTAGGAAAATTTCACGGGTGCCAGCCATTCTACGGCTAATAAATAGAACGAACGCCTTAATTCAATTCGTAAGGATCTTGCCTGCACCTGCGCACATAAGTCCTGACATCTCATTTTGGAAGTCGCACCTGTCCGGTGGACATCTTACCTCCCGAGTGTCAAGGATGACAGGAAAGAGGTGAGCGTCTCGCCATAAATAAACGCACCCCTCATTTACCACATTTCGTCCAGGATGAGCTTAACTTTTCCACCTGGAGGAAAAAATAAGTCTCGGAATACGTATCTACTTGCGCCCACGTGTCGATGAATAAACATGCTCTAGGTTTTTTACCCTCGCCTTATCCGATGCAGACCCGTGCCGAGCAGCAGACCGATTTCAGGCCGAGCTTCGGCATGGCTTAATTCGATTTATATCTCCAACTCCCACTTGTAGACATGCGCCTAGTTTTCCCATGTTAATTCGCACCTGCTCGTCCTTATATGGCACTTATATTGGAAGCACCTGTGTCATAAATTTAGAAACCCTGAAATGTCGCATGAAGAAAACGGCCCCTGGTTAACGAAAGAAATTTCAATCAGAATGAAGGATCCAATTACAAAACGGAATTACCATACTGATCTTATAAAGCCTCGAAAAAAGTCATGAATAATTACGTGCAATCATTATGGCACCATCTTATGAATGTAACAATTTGTTAAAAATCCATACCGGTGTTTCAGAGAATTCTATACGATACCCTTGAAAAAGGTCTTCTCTTCCCGTCGAATACTCCCTTTTCTTGCGCACCGTACCCATCGATTTTTCATTCTCTCGAACCCCTGGATCGCCTCAAGAGGAAGTACTTTATCCTTCATCTTCTTCATCTCGAGTAACAGAATATCAAGGGAGCCTCATATTCAGCCGGATGCTAAGCGGCGTTAATCACAGTTTCTCATGGCCGTCACCTCCACCGTTCGACGGCCACTTCATTACGCACGCTAGGCATCGATCAAATTAATCCCCGACTCCGTAAAACGCTCGACGCATGCAAAGCGACTGTTTGCTCGTGTGATTTCGTCCTCCCTCACTTACGATACCGTCCTAACGGTTAATCACTTATCGGTCATCGCAGCATCCGTACAGCTGGGTCGCCAATTTACAGTTTACACCCTGTCGCGTTTGTCATTTACCTCCCTGCATTTGCGGACGCTTATTAGACACAAATCCGTGACACAGTGATCCATCTCCTGATAATATGCTATAAAAGAGAATATCTTCTCATATGAAACCGAAATAAGAATTATACTCACATTTTTATTTGCAGGGATCCGGACTGGATGTACCGAATTGATTAATATTTTACCTCGTTAATGTGGAGGCCCTAAGGTCCTGGCACTCATTATACAATTTTTTAAATATTTCTATACAGACATTTTTTCATTTTTTAACGAAAAATAAAATTTCATGGATGTCGAGACCTTCCTTAGCCCCTTTATATTTACGTGGTAAGTTTTCAAATGATTCGTTACATCCAGTTGGAAGAGAAGTTTCATAAACTAGTGACCCCTCAGATGCCGTTTTCACATCGCCTTGAAGCTAGAAGCAGCTGTTTTACTTCCTGCTGATTGAGACGTTACATTCTAGATTGACTTGGAATTTGGAAAGTAGATATGGGGTGCGGTCAGTGCACGATGTCGCTTCGCTTGGATTTTGATTCTTGACGAAGGGCCAACTCTTCAAGATCGTTGCTCCGGCATCCAACATCCCCAGGTCGGTCGGCCAGTCCTTATCCGCCATCGTTTCGAAGCCGCTGGTGTTCGCTTGACTCGTAGCTCGAAGCCGAGTTGAATCTAGAGTCAAGCCACGGCTCCCGAGTAGCTGCAAGATGAAGGCAGCTTTGTGGGAGGATATCGGTAAGCAGAAATCAGTGGTTGGATGGCGCCTCCGCCCCTCCGGCCGTGCACGGCTCTCGCTCGGCTGCTCCTCAGTATTTATGCTCGGAATCGCGTCTCTGTCTGCCCGGGGGCGCTACCAAGAACTTGCTAACTTCATTAAAATATTACCATCAACAGGACATTGTTTCGGTTAGCCAACTTCGGACAACTCACCCACAGTCCACGGAACCCCATCCGAGCACTTGACCTCTCAATCGAACTTCCGGTTCCGAACTCGAGGTGAACCGGTCATGGTCTCGGACTTCTAATTCGTTGGATGCTGATTAGGAGGTGGACCAAATGGTACCAGCTCTTCCAGAAGATTACCAGGTTGGACAAACTTGCCTTCGTCCTTAAATAAAAATGACGGTTATTTTCTACGAAAAGGAACTGTCCATTTTTTCTCCAATCCCCTGCAGAAGTGTAGCTACTACATGTCCAACATGGCTATGAGAACTTATCAACTGCAAGTCTTGACGAGACGAGACAAAACCTACCGTATGTGCGTTTAACTGGAAGGTTCAATAGACATCCTGGGGTGAACAACTTAATTTATACATTAATGGATGTCTCTATAATCTGTAAAGCGATTTGGTGCTCTACCGTTCTTTGTCTCCTGGGGACCACTTCATGAGAATCAGGGTCGGCTTTGCTGCACTGGAGTTACACTGAAAAGAGAATAGAACAATGTGTAGAGCTCCCGTGTATTTTTAGTCCAAATGTAACGTTCAAAGTATACAAAAGCTTTGTTGTCTCGTGCCCGTGAATGTCGGCGACAGAGATGCGGCACAGAGAGATACTGATACGTAATTGAAGCCGAGATCACCGGCGTGCCGGTCGAGTTCTCGCGTCCTCGCCGTGGCAGAAGCGTTTAAGCCGCTTGAAACGCCTCAGTCTCGTTGAAAGGATCCGAGCGATTTCTTCTTATGGAAGAAAAGTGGCAACCGGGTGACAGTGGTTCGGAGTAACACCGCGAAGACCACGCACGTCGTACGAGGAAGCTGCTTGAGTTTTTGCCGCGGCAGTAATTGAGCCTGTCTTGTCTGCTCCCGTCTAAATGAGTTACGAGGCGCCTAGCGGTACAAACTGGAACTTCGACTCGTGCCGACTCTTCCCGTGCACGCATGACGCGCCGTATCTTCCGATTGTCATGCTCCGAACAAAGCCAGAGCACGCAGTCACGAGATGCTTTCTTCGGTCCGTATATCTCGCGCCTTTTTGAGTACCACTACCTGAAGCAGCTAAAACCATCTGTGAACGAAATCCACGCCCCGCGGCCGAGTGCGGCATAACCTAAAATATGGCGTCAAAAGATGTAACCTCCTCTCTAGAGAAATAAATACAGTTGAAAATTAAACGTGTTTTGTACCTTGTCCTCTTGGAAACCTATATTTGGGATGAACGTAACTCGTCATATGGGTAGGTTCCATTGCCTCTGTTAATTATATTTATGTTTGCCTGACCTGCTTGGCATTAAAATTGAAGAGGAAAACTTCTGCATAGAAATATTTCATTGCCCTCGGTCGTCATTGTAGAGTAAGAACGGAAACTTTGGGAGATCGCTTGTGTATATTAAAATTCATGAGTGTGTACCTGTGTTAGTAGTCGTAAACGCTCGTCCTTCCTGTAAGAACATTCAGATTTATATGCAGATTGCCATCGAATTTAAATACCTCGAGATTAACCTTCCATCTCGCTACGACTACGGGTGCCCTGCAAATAACTCGGTGCGTTAAAATAGCTCGGTACAACTTTACGTACGATGGTTCGGAGTTCGAACAACCGCCTCTTTATCGGCATGCCAACTATGCGCATCCCCTGTTACGATATATCTCGCTGGGTGAACCCACCGAGTGCGCGATGCGAGTAATCGGTTGCAGACTGTGCTTCCCGCAGACTTTTTTCCCAAATGAAGGAACCATCTCCTTATCTTTTTCTACCGCTATCAGAATTTCACAGCTCCGTGATTGCATGAAGATGCCACTTCATTAATTCTATAATCTACAAGCGGTAATTTAATATTTCAAAACGGCACCCTTCAAGGATCTTTTATTTATTCCCAATATTCATTTTCTCCTTGACAATCCTTCCTCTTATTCACTTGCAACATTGCTTTGCTAAAAATTTGGATATTTTAAATTTGTAGTAAACGATTACGCCTTTGTAATATGAAAATGATATACTCTTCATTACTTTCTTATACTATATGCGCCATCATGTAATGAAGGTAGTAAGTTGAGAGGAAGGTGTTTGCCATCCTTTTTTACCAACTATGGATAATATGAATGTAGATGTATGTGGAAAACGTTTTGGCCGTCTGATGACGCCACAGTCGAGGTTTCAAGTTCGATGAAGTACGAATATCACGGAGAACTAAAATACCTAGTAGGTGATTTTTAAGTGTAGCTACTCTGTCTTCTCATTGGTTCATGGATCAAATCGTAATTTTTATTATTGCGTTTCTGAACACGCCAATAACGGAATGGCGGGATTTGAATACCCTGTTGCTCGCCGGTTCGCACATATCGAAGTGCTTGCAAACGATGTGCCGGATAAAATGTGTTGTGTAGTAAAGTGTTACAGTGAAATTGGTTAAACAGTTAATAAGGAAACCCGAGAAAAATGTTGGAATTCCAATTGGGCTATAGAGAAGTCATTCCGGATCAAACTTTACCTGAAAAATGGAAAGAGATCACTTTAAATACAGGTTAGCATCATGGTTTTATTAAATGCCTCAACTCTTTAATTTAGATGATAATTCGTATTTCTTGAAGACATGTTATGAAAAATGTCGATATCCTAAATAATACTGAGTTTATTAACCTTTAACTTAAAGTGTAACAAGAAAAAGGAAAGCTGGCAAAGTGGAAAGGCATCCTAACCTCAAAACGGAATGTGCCAGGATTAAAATCTCAATTTTTAATAAATTTGTAGTAAAGATGTAAATCAAAGCGGGTGCAGAAGTCAGTTTAATATCTAAATTATTTTTTAATTCAATTTTTGAATCCTTAATGTGAAAAAATGAAATGTATGTGCATTGAATCGTTTACATCGGTGATGATGATAAATACCTTTCTGGTTTTTTTTAGGTGGAAGCCAAAGCACTCTACAGGATATAAAGGTTCCAGAAAAGGCGGGCGGCTACTCTTATAAAGATAGTTCAAAACATTACACTCGAAATCGTTTCATCTATTGGCGAATCTCCCATGATATCCTTGAATTAGTGGAACATAGCCTCGATGTTAATCTTGCTAACTGTAGAGTGAGATACAAATTTACAGACACTCCAATTTTGGATGGGATTTCAATTCACGAAACGGTGAATTCTGTCATTATACTAGTCGTTACAGTGTCTAGTGTTCATAAACTTACATTTCCACACCCTGATAAAATACATAGACAAGTAAGTAAAGAAATAAACTAAAGTTGAGACTTAATAGTTTTCTCAATATGATTGAATTTTATTTCATTTTTAGGAACTCGTATTGGGTTCTCACCCAGAATTAAGTGTTCAGTCAATACTTAGCGAAGCATCTGTTCAGGCTGCTAGAGACCCTCATACATTTCATGTTATTACTACTGCTGGGATAACAAGTGAGTGAGAAAAATACTCCATATGCAAGAAAGCTTAAATATGATGTAATGTTAATAAGAAATTGAAATAATGCAATCTATGTTTCGGTTGAATTTATTCATGTTTATATTCTTTAGATTCACCAGTACCTCACGCTGCCGCATCGTGGCTTGTCCTTCCTCAAGAAGAGTCTCTGTTTGCACTTGCTTACAATTCAGGAATCATATTGCTTCTGCGACTTGATACCATAACAGGACTAGTACAAACAAGTGAACTGAAGCAGGATTCAATTGTACCCCGATTTCTTAGTGGTATTGCAACTGCATTTAGAGGTCGTAGTTCCGAAGGCCATGTTGCGATGTCTTTAATTTTGCATACATATGACAACGACACGTACTTATTTGCCTTATGTCGTGAAGGCAACGTACGCATGTGGTCATGCAACAAAGCTCAGTATGTAGCAGTAGCTGATGTTGCAATTGACAACCGTGTAGCATCTCAAGGTGCTCAAGGTCACATGCTGCGAAAGGTATTAACATCGTCCAATGGTGAACTATATTTAGGCACATATTTGAAATTTTTGTCTGGATGTGAATTTAGTATTTTGAAACCTGTTCTGGATGCTGGTACATTCAAATTCATTAGAATGTGTACAATCATTGCCCCAGATGTAAGTACCTAAAACCAATAGACATAATTAAAACAATAATTGAATTGGAATGCATCATTAATGTGCATGAAGTACCTTCATTGTTTTTTCATTTTACAGCAACACTTAGTAGATTTTTCGTTTACTTCCACGAGATTATGGGCAGTGTGGCGAACAACTGAAATGGATACCGTTGCCGTTACTCATGCACGTCTTCCACTAAGTGGAGAACAAGTTAATTCTGAATGGGAAACTGCAGTATTGGAGCACCCTCCTGACAGAGATTATATTGTCAGCGATCCTGGCACAGATCCAAGACAAGCATACATTAGTTACATTTTTCATCCGGGTCAATTTTCTTTGACTGACATTACCAGGGCACTCAGTATCTATAGACGATCCAATCTTTTCAATGACATGTTTTTGTCACCAGCTGTCTTGAAAGAACGTGTTTGTATGGCAGTAGAAGCGGAAATCCAAGCTGAAGTTATGGATTATGAACTGACAGACGAGGAGTATTTAGAAACCGCTAATCGTTGTTGGTCCAAGTTTTACTCATGCGTAATTCAGTATCATATTAACGGGAACAGACCCTTAGGTCTTTTGTTACTTCCGAATGTTTATGGTGTTGCCTTAATTAAAAAATCTTGGTTCTCCTTGTTGAGACCCATGGAGGCTTTGGAACACTTGATGTTATCTAACGAAAAGGCATATGTGTCACGCTTCAAAACGACACCAGTTTTATGTCAAGATGAAGACATTTGTCAAGACCTAATCACTCTAATGTCTACATTAGTCATGTTAGAAGACCAATTATCAGAAAAATTGAAGACAGCCATTGAAAGAGAACTGTATCACCTGAAAAGTCCAGATATTGTTGTCGAAGATCTATTATCAAAATTACTCATGGAACCCGACAATCCTGTAAGTGATTACAATGTACCCATGTACAATTACCTTTCTTTTAAAATCATCTTAATGATTAAACATACTTTTTTACTTGCAGTTATTAGACTTCGACTTTCAGTCAGAAATGTATCGCAAACTGGAATGCATTAAAGATATATCAAGTGCCATGGCTATGTTATTGGAAGCTTTGACGTACGATCTTGGTCAGCCAAATAAATTGCAATTGAATGAGGATAACGAGGCTGAAGCCTCGAAAATGCTTCTCAGTATAAACCATTTATTTAGCAGCCAATTAGGTATCTCTACTGTGTCAGAGAGCGTCACGCAAATTACACTTTCTAGATTTTCAATTTGCAGAAATTTACTTATCTTGCAACAGATAGTTTTAACACGACCAGAAGCATTTGATTCGAGATCACTCCATTCGATCAAATCTTCATTAGCACCAAGAACTGTTATTCTTACACAAGCGTATTATGTTGTCGTATGGATTTGCGAATCTACCGCGACATCAACGTCTTCTCAAGCTTTAATGTAAGAATATTTATTCAGCATTTATTAACTATTCTAACTGTATATCAATATTAATAAAAGAAAATTATTTCTTGCAGTGAAAATAGTGTCCAACGATTGGCGCTGTTGAAACTCACAGATTCAAGATCAAACATTGTTCAGCGCCAGCATCGTTCGATGTCATTGCTAGAATTTTTTATACACAGTGGAGGAGTAAAGCACGCTCATGCTCTTATGGTTCACGTCGACATTGACCCATCTGGTTTAGTTCCATGGCATTACGGCATGTTAACCCATATCACGCTCATAGCTCAACTGGTGTATCCTCATATAAAATATGTTCCATATATATTCTTGATATTGCTTTATGGTTTAATAGAATTGAAAACAATTTTTTTATTTCCTTGCATTGTCTTATTCGTGTTTTTGTTATTTATGATACGATGTTCCTTAACTAATCTAAATAGTTGGCCTATTTCTGGAAATTTTATCTTTCCGGAGTGGTTACTGTCGAGTTGCCAATTCTTACTTGTTCAAGAGTATGTGCGACTTCTAAGCACGTGGTTCGAATGGAATAGCGCTTCAAGGAAATTTATATTGGCTGTTGCCCTTTTGGAAATGGGTGACACACATAAAGCCTGCGATCAGTTCCTCCGAGCCTCTAACGGAGTCTTGACAGATGCATTCTTAGCCGATACTTTTTTGGAATCGAGTGTTACATCTAAGAGCAGTGCCTTGGTGCAGTATTACTTAAAAGTAATCGAACTATTCGACCAACATTGCGCAGCAGACTCTATTATTCGTTTGGCAGAAACGGCTATACCAATCGCTGATAAGAACGAACCTAATTTACCGACTCTTCATTCTATTATATTTGCCCAACATTTGAAATTAGGCCATCACATGGAAGCTTATCATTGCTTAAATTCAAATCCTGATGCTGCTCGAAGAGTGGACTGTTTGAGACAATTAGTAGTAACATTGTTTGACAGAAAGAAATTGATGGATTTGATAACGTTTCCTTACATCGACATGTACGAAGACCTTGAGAAAATAGTATTATCAAGAGCAAGAAGTGTGGATCTCCTGGAATATAATTACTACAACTTCTTGTACAGTTTTCATATAAATAAAGGAAACATGAGAAAAGGTAATTAATGGACAGTTTGAGATAATGTAAATTTGAAATTCACATATAGTATATTGTACTGTTGAAATTTAACTGATACCGTGATATTATTTTTAGCCGCATCTGTGATGTACGAACAAGCAATGCGTTTAAGTCAAGAAACTCACTCAACGGCCATTATTTCTAAGCAAGCTCAGTGTCTTCTATCTTGCATTAACGTTCTGCATCTTGTGAACGAAAAATACAAGTGGATTGTTCGACCCGTGCTAGATCAAAGTCATCCAGAGGATACAAATCCAAAGAAAAAGAGAAGTATAAATGGCGAGGAAGTTTTACATTATAAAGTTAAAAAGCAAGTGGAAGTTCTGGAGCTCGAAGACATTAAGAAGGAATATTATTTAGTGCAAGCGAGATTGAAACTGTCGAAATTGAATTCTGACTTACACATCGTTGCGCAAGCAGGTGAGAAAAACATTTAAAAAAATATCGAATCTTTAAAGGTCTTGTAAAGGCAAATGGGCATTGTAACCCCTATCTCCTAATATATGATTATAGGAAATTATAAATATTTCATCATTCTTTTCAGATCCAGCAGAGCTTATTGCTATTTTATCGAGTGTTGGTTTATATACAAATGCCCTTCACTTATGCGACCGATTCAATATTAATAAGAGCTCCGTACTTGAAATTTTAGCATCGCAATGTGTAAGATTAAGTCAGTACGAAGATTCAGCTGCGTGGGATTGGTTAATTGAAAATGATATCTCTGGTTAGTATGCCTGTTTATCCTATGCATTCTTATAGTTACTTAATTGTCCTCTATGATATACTCTTTACTTAACAGTTATTTAAGAAATATTATTCCTTTCATTTCTTGATTTGAATACAAGTTCAAGTTTTTTGTAACAACGCTTTTTTCTATGCATACATTTTTTTGCAGACATAAGTGTATCGCACTCAAATGTAGCCAATACAGCGTGGAAATTGTTAGAACACCTAACCTTAAAACATGAAAAGGATTGCAGTAGTGATTTGCATAAAGGTGTAGCTAGAAAATTGGTTCATCATGGAGCTTTTCTGCCGGAATGGCTGTTATCTTCATACAGGGTATGTTCTGCTGTGTGTTCATTTGTTATTTATATGTAATTAATAATAGATAAATAGAAGCCAAATGTAAGGGACGTTTATTATAATGCTTTTTGGTTATAGAAACGAAACGCAGCAGAACTTCTTTGGCTTTTCTTTAGAGCGGGCAGACTTATGGAAGCAGCAGAGTTAGCCATCGACTATATAAATGCAGTGCTCGGCAGAGGAATGGAACGTTTTGGTTTAGAAACCCCTTTAGTAGCAACAGGTTCCCCTGTGTGGCTCTGTCATAATGCTTTTGATGTATTATTGCGTGAATTGAAATTCGCAGAAGAGGACGATCCAAAATATGTTCAGGTACTTTGATTTTATTTGCATGTATAAAGGCACATCTTTTATTTGATTTCAAGACGGTTTTCTTCTCTAGAAATGTAAAATTAAGGCTTTCCGGTTCTTGTTTCAGTGTTACGAGCAGTTGAAGGAAACATTAGATAAGTACTTCGATGTAGTTGCCAGGGTGTCAGATGATATGATACGACTGAAAATACACAGTAACAAGTCTTAACAGCAAATATCTAAGTTTAATATTTAAGTGATACTTGTATAAATGCTAATGAAACGAAAATATGTCGTACACTGATTTTAGATAGTTACGGCAATTTTTATATCGTTACATTTAAGAATTTATAGGATAAAACATGTGGCGTTTATACATACCTTTTGGAACACTTATGGTAATTATGATAATGAAATAGTAATATCATTCCTTATTACGTCACCAATAAACAGGGGATTGATTAACTGTTATAAGGACTATAAAGACAATAATTACACCGAGAACTCCGGCAACAATCGCGGCCACCATCTGTGGACACCTTTTGAACAATACCTGAAACATCCGTATTTAATTTCATGCACAACCTATTAACGTCAATTGTTTAATAGAATTTACTTAGTGTTAATTAATCGTATTTATTTTAACCAAAATATTGTTTTGAAGAAGGTAGTCTTATTTAATCAAGTGTACAAAACGTTTACCATAAGTAGTATAACTACTGCTAGTATGAAAACTGATCCAATGGGTAACAAAAGCGATGCTGCCCAATAATGTTTTTTCAAGTCTGCATCTGAAACATTTTTATTTAAAACGAATTAATCAAACATTGAATGTACTTTATATTTAGTTGTTATTGCTGAGAATTTACATTAGCATCACTCACCACTTTTAAACCAATTACTATGGTATACACCATATCCAGGTACAGTAATACTTCTAGTGATACTGTCATTCATTACAACTATCGAGACAACTGAATCATCAGATGTTCGAACCTCGTTGGTAAACCAGTCACCTGTGAACCATACCTAAACATTACATTTGTACACTTTTAGCAATAATCAGTATTTCTTAATAAAATGATACAAAAATTATTTATGAATCTGAAGATTTGGATATGACAAATACATAATAACGTTTCACGGCATAACTAAAATTTCTAGAAAGATAATTGTTAATTTTTGTGAAAACATCTGATGAAACTACTTTGCACAATATTACAGAAACTGTACACTCGTTATCTTTGTACGAGTGTGAGTTCTGAAATTATATACATTCGCATATGTTATTAGCTTGTATATTTTCAATATTTACTTGAAATTAGTAAAAATATCCCTAGAACTGATTAACATTGACAACGTAAAAATAGTTACAAAGCAATCAGACTTACCCCAGATGAAGTACATTGCTCCGTGTTTTCTTATTTTCAATGACATAGGAATGTAACTATACAAGTTATTCAGCTTGTTTTTTTTTATTCCTGCTGCTTTATTTTGAGTGAAACTCACATGTCAATTGCAGAGTATGAGCCTGTCTGATTTTGTTTCCACTCATGCAAATATTACTGCATTTGTTTTATTTTCTATTCAAACGAGATAACAAAGTCGAAGGTTCATTGCTTTTCAAGATAGAGTGTTACAGTTACAAAGAGATAATATCGCTAACTTTCAGAAACTTGTTACTATTAGTATTCCGTTTTTCTGTACCATATCCACAGTATGTACATTTGTAAACGTTTTATACATAAAATAGATAGCATCATGTTTATTTATAGGAACTAATAATAAAAAAAAGTGTATAAAATTATTATTAAGTTCCAGGAAAATATTTATACGATGTAAATGATCAAGAGGGAATAAATATTTTCATTAGTTTTAAAATAACATCAGAGAGAGTTTTGCGCGTCGTCATAAAACAGGTCCAGTTGCAAAGGAGGCAAGAGTTGTCGTTGTATATTTCATTTTTGTCTGCAAGGCATCCACAAGTTATAATTACAGCCATTAAGATATGTTTAACACAAAAGTAAGGAAAAACTGTGTAAGAAAATTAAAATTTTTATCCTGAGATTATAGTCCTACCTTGAAGTAACAAAATTTCTTTTGAAAAAGAAATTAATTCATTTTGTACAAATAAGTCAATTATGCATCAAAATATAATCTCCGTCAATTCAGTGTTGGAACGGTAACGAACACTAACTTTTACTGTAAAATTTCTTGATGCTTTTGTTGCTCTTTATATTGCATGCAAATTTCAGAGTTCTAGTTTATGCGAAATAACAAACAATTGTGATATAAAAAAGAATATAAAATTGCGCAACAACCAAATACAAGTTATACCGATATAAAAATGTATTATATGTTCGCGAAAATAAGTATACTACTAACCATCATGAAACTAAACAACTTCTCAATTAATACAAATTTTGTAATAAAATTTAAAAAGTAGGACGTATATGACGATCTCCACGGTCATTTGTCACAAGTTTTTTACAGTAACGTATTTGATTGGTTAGCCATGACAAATAGAACAAAAAGTCTGGGAAAATGTGCAACCAGAGATGAGTTGGGAGATTGCTTACGGGCAGGATCGTGCGATCGCATCCTGTGCTGCCCTCTGGTTTCGTACATTAGCTTTCACCGTTTTTTGCCCCCAAGGGCGGCGCAACGAATTTCTGATAGGAGGTCGCGCATTCACGATGGCGGTACCATCTACCAGTTGGCATTGGCGGCTCACGTACTCGTGATGGTAATACCATGCGGCAGTTGACGGTGGTGGCTTACCTACGCTTACCGATACTGCTCGCTTTAGATGGTAAAGGAAGAACACTCGTGACGTTCCATTTGACTTCTCTATTTGAGATCTCCCAACTCATCTCTATGTTCAACTGTGATGGAACTTACCGAAATCTAACATTTTTATGCTTTATTTAGACCATCTGTTGTCCATGAACGACGTACCCTTATATCGTGTTCTAGATTTTCACAATAATCTTACCGTCAAAATTACGTTGCAACTATCAAGCACCAACAAGCAGAATAAAACATAAAGCGAAAACAGCGCAAGCTGCAGTAGATAACCTAACCAAGAAAGTTAAATTTATCTGAGATGATCCTTTGTAATGGCTGCAGGAGTAAACCCGGCTGATTTGTTGATGTTATGTAAATCTCATCCTTGTTTGCACGAAAAATAGTATAAAAATGATTAAAATAACAGCTCTTAACGAAGAATCGAGTGAAGAAAGTGAAGAGGATGATGTACCCACAATTACAAAAGAAGCACAGGTGGGAATAACTTTATTCTTCTAAGATCTTTGGATATAACCTCAAACTTACTGTAATTTGTAATTAATTGTCAAATAGCAAACTGATGCGAATTTATTTTGGTTTTGTATTTTTCTAAATATGTACAGTTCGTGTTATTATGGCCTCTAATCTGCAATTTTATATAGAGTTACTTGTTGTGTTTAATATATAGCTATACATCCTTAGCATCCTCTGATAATTCAATGATTTGTCATTTATGCTTTTAGGAACAAATTGTCATTACTGAGTATAACAAGGCCTTAGACTTATTAAAACATGATAAGAAAGAGGAAGCCTTAATTATTTTTAAAGATCTATTGGAGACTGAATTATTGGATCAAGTAGAAAAACCTGAAGTGCTTGATGGTCGATCTAGGCCGATGCTTTCGTTGAAGTATGCCTGTTTTAAAAATATTGGAACTATTCAAGCACAATTAAAGAATTACGAGAATGCAATAGATAATTATTGGGAAGCAGCAAATTTAGATGATACCGATGTGATGCTTTGGTACAGGATGGGTACCTGGGCAATAAAGACGTCCAATTTGGAATTGGCATGTTCTTCATTTAAACAAGGTTTAAAGTGTAATCCAAATCACTGGCCTTGTCTAGACAGTATTATCACTGCTTTGTATGCTATTCCTGACTATATGAATTGTCTTTTATATATTTCTATGGCACTAGAACGAGATTCAAGTTATATCAAGGGTTTAGCATTTCGATATCAAATTTTCAAAGATATTCCATGCTTTGAAGAATGTTATAAATTATATAATAGTGATTGGTCTTTAGATCCACCTTTAGATACGGAATATGATCAAGTGATTGCAGATAAACTTCTGGCAGAGGCAAGAGATATAGCCGAAAGATGGGTGGATTCATGTAAGCCAGAATTTACCGCAAAGTCATTATCGGAGTTGACCTTACGAAAACCTCTGAGTAAATGTGACTGGATGGAATTAGGAGAAAGCCTATTAGATATGCATAGGTATATTACAGAGAGTAATTTAAATTTTGTTAGTCACATTAAGTTAGAAGTTCTTAAACAAAGTGAAAGCGAAGTAAAATTATTTGGAGATGAAAGTAATATTAGAGAGAACTGTGAGATGATCATAGACCAACCATTAATTGATGAAGACTTAAAAAGTGAAGATGAAATTGACACAGGTGTAAAGTGTGAAGAAAATGAAGATGATAATCATTCAATTGAAAATCTTACAGATCAAATGTTCAACAATAATGTTGATACTGGATTAGAAATTGAAATAGAAGACGATAGAAAATCTAGTTCAAGTGACATTCAAATTATAGAAGATGAGGATCCTTTACGTATCTCAGATACAGATATTCAGACTTTTGAGGAAGATAACCAACTAAAGCAAAAATTTGAAGAATCAACTATTTTTGGACTCGATGATGATATTGAAAAGGAGCAATTGGACAAGAATTCTGAAATTGGTAACATTGGTAAATTTAATGAGATTGAGCCGTTAAATGATAAATCAAACGGTAAAGAAAAATCCAATGACAAAACCAGCGAGAAGTCTAATGGAAAGTCTGAAGATAAAACACAAAAAGTAGAGGATAGGACCAATGATAAACCAGAAGGAAAGGATGAAGGTCAAAAGGTTAAAAAAAGACGCAGAAGTTCTTTATGCTTTCTCCAGCAGTGGGCATGGAGCAGTAGTAGTATGAGGCGTTCAGCGAGAGTTCGAAGCTCGAATAGAAGAGAAGTAGAAAGAGAAGATGTTCTTTTAGAAGACACTCTTAAAAGAATATTCCCAAGCACTTTACTGTATGTTAATATTAATATATACATATTATTTTCATCAAAAACGTTTAGATAACTAAGTTACTGTCACTTTTTAGGCCAGAATCTGTGAAATTAACAAAAGAGGATCCTACAAAATATATGGAAGATTCTATGGATACAATGGACTTGTATCAGTTATTCACAAATCGGGAGAATAATGGAAATACAACGGAAGGCACTAAGAGTACTGATAGTTCTAAGCCACCTACTCCTGAAATGAGGTGAATGCTTCTTTAGTCTGTTACAAGTGATACTATGTAAATCATTCTTCAATTAAAATAAAATATTCAGTTTATAATTATTTTCCTTATATAATTCTCGCATTACAGTGAAGACATGGAGCGATATTTTGATACAGAACGAGAAAAGTCAGATGTCGATGCCTTTATAAGTGAGCACAGCAGTAAAAGTAATTTAATGATAATCATTGCTAAATTTGTAGAATTTTTGTGCACTAAATGGAATCAAGAATGGCCAAAAGGATTGTCAGAAGTATATCTTCAGGCCTATATATTCATGAGGTACCAAGAACTTTTGTACAAGTATACTCCAATATTTTCTTTTACTTTAATACTATTAATTTTTATCACTAATTTTTAGAGAACATATACCACATCCATCATCGTTTGGAGATGATGTAGATGAATGTATTCTAAGACTAGATGGTGAAGCGACTTTATTATTTGGTGAATTACATACAGATAAATGGATGGCCAATAAACCAGATGCCCTACCTTTTTCAACGTACGTGTTTTTATCCAAAGCTCAACTCTTGTAATTCTATGTCTGTACAATCGTGTCACAATCGTTTTATTCAATCTTTGCAGGATAGACAAACTTGGTACTGGGATGCCGTCAGAAGAATTAGGATTTGTTATCTTTGTCAGTACACGGGAAGATTTATTCAAGGAAGAAAGTCTCTTATTCTTGCTAAGAGTTTTATGGCTCAAAGCCAACATATTTTTATGCCAAGGAGATACGGAAATAGTTATCGAAACCCTGGAATTGGTGAGAATTAATTACATATTTTTCAATTAAACTTTGTTAATATTTTTACATGTATTTTGGTCCATGATTTCAGTTATTGAGCCATTTACAAGAAGTGCAAGAAAACGGGAAAAATTTTACGATTAGGCTTCAAAATTGCAGTTGCTATCCATGCATAAGTATTTGTGTTGTGGAAAAGTTATTGACATCTATTAAAAGGTTTGTTTCTATTAAAAGAACTACATTAAGACTCCGCAACTATCCCTCGTTTATGGAAAGGTTACACGTAATTATTTTAAACTAAATTTTGTATTAATCCGTTCTAGGGGTCAGAAACTTAGCGAGATTCAAAACTTATACGATGCAAAGAAGTATGCAGAACTATCTTCCGTCTTGCAAGATACATTTAAATATGCAAAACAGAGACACAAACTGATCACAAACAATGCAGTCATTGTTGATCGGGTTAATCAACTGGCAATGTTGCTCGATAGTCTTTGGCACCTTCGACAGTACGAGGTACTGTTTACATTTGGCTAACTACAATCTACTTGTATTTTTTTCACATACATATTAAATGAATTTACATAATTTTCTAGGATTGTTATGTGTGGGCTGAAGCTTGTCTTCACGAAGGATGGCAAAATTATTTGAACTCGTCGGAAGAAGTCGATCAAAAAAAGTGGGCAGGCTCGGTTCTAAATTCTCTTGAAAAGTTAGATGCCTGTACTGCAGAAGTTAGTACGTTCATTGGTACGTAATAGAATAATAAAATGTATATTTCATTTTTACCACATTGAAAATGACGATTAAAAGAAACTTCACTACTTTGTCGTTACAGTAAAATATTTACCAGAAAATCGTCAGTCCAGACTTGTCCAGAACTTAGTTCAAATAACGTGTCACCAACTCGATGTATCGGACAACCAAATTGAAATGCCCCTTGAGACTGTTGCCCCTTGGATTTTATTGCATTATATTTTACAATAGTAAGTTGTATTCACGAATGATTTTATTACTGTCACACTACTTGTTTACAATTATATTGGTTCACAGCGAGGAAGACAAGGAACGTGCCAAAACCACATCACTTACAAAAAGCAAAGTTCAGACTTCGCATAGTCCAGAATCCGAAGACGATGACGAGGAAATACCCCCTTCGCTCATGATTCTATTTACCGCCCATGAGTTTCTTGGTCGCCATTCATGGTGTTGCATTAACGAGGCGAAATTGCTACTTTTCACCATGAATGTGGTCGTTCCCAAACTACGAACACCTCAGTACTCTTCTGTGAAGAACAAATTGACGAAATTCATGGAGCAGATATTCTTTTGCCTTTACGGGCACCCCAATAGGGTAAATAAAAGTAAACCGAAACACCTCGAAGAACACGGAGTTCCTCAGATGCAGCTTACCTGGGAAGGAGCACAATTACTTTTGGACTTCTATAAACCGGATACCATACCAAACTTCCGGTCGCCTAAAATTATTTCAATCGGCTCAGATACTGAGATTCTCTTTAAAAGGATTAGTCGACTTGTGCCTGTAAAGAGCAATCCTAGTCAGATAGCAGACGAAATGACCGCCTACATAACAGGGGAAAAAGACAAGATGCCTAGTGTCAAAAAACCTCTGCCATATCCAATGTCTTCGATTTATTATTTGCTGGCGGATTTTTATTTTAAAAACAGCAAATGGTCGCCTGCGGCACGGTACTTTCTGCTGGATCTTTGCTTGCATCCGACAGCTTTTAATTCCTGGATCGGTTTGGCTCTGTCAACTGGTACACAGATGGAAACTTGGTTGGATGGCTGCCAAACTTTCAAGTGAGTCTTTGCAACGATGGAGCGTAATTCAGTTTGAATGTATCATTTTACTAACGATCTTAAATACGCGTTTAACACATTTCTTTTAATTTTGATTTTATAGGAATGAAAACATATTCCTTGAAAAGGCAAAGTTAGCTCAGAACAGTTTTCAGCGTGCCGTCGAATTGTCTCCAGGGGATTCTGTTATCTTAATAGAATATGGAAACTTTGTCTATATGGTGCATTCGTTTTGTTCACGGTTACTTAAGCAAGAAACTGACACCTTGAGTATGGAGAGATTTGAGGTTCTGGAGACCCGAAAGGAATACATGCTAGACATTGCGGCTCAGTGCTTTTTATCAGCCCACCGAATATTTATAGCTTGTCACGGAATCGATGACACTACTGAACTTCAAGACGAACGATGGCTCTATCAGTACATGCTGGCTAAAATTGCTGAAAAGAAAAATGAAGATCCTCCAGTATTTCTAGAACATTATGCTAAAGTAAGGATTGTTCAGTTTATTTATTACAGTTGAGTCTTCGGCTTTTTTAATTACCTTGTTCAATGAGTATATTTTTTTTCCCTGCCAGGCCAGCGAATTATTGTACGAAAGCAATGCACAGTATCCACGGAAAATAAGCCACAAGAATCCACAAAACCTATCGGTCGAGGCACTAGAAGTCCACTATCGAATTCATGCAAGTATATTAAAGTATTTAGAACAGCACGAAGGCAAACCTATTAAAAAGTCGCTAGGTCAGTTATTTTTGCAACACTTAAAGAATTGTGCCGAAGGACCATTCATGAAATACCAATCGAAACTTAATGATAAGAAAAAAGAAGATGGTTCTGATTCCGATAGCAGAACACTGTTAAAGGACTCTGAAACTGTAGGAGAAACGCCAAAAAATATTGTGTCCGTGCAACAGCGTTCAAATAGTATTGAAGAAATTGAAATAGTAGAGAGAGTTTCTGATAAGACGGAAATGAATAGAAGTACGAACCAAGTGAAGATTGACAGTCGCAAGAGATTACCAGAAGATCAACCTTGCGAACCCAATAAGAGAATGAAACTGGGCAGTATTTCCCATTTGCAACTCATGCAGGATGTGGTGGCTTTAATTGATGATTTGATCACCAAAGTTTGTGTAATGGTAACACAGAAAGGTTCACCAAACGACGAAGTCATGATTTTGTCGAGTGACGAAAGCGACGAGTCCAAACCTCAGACACAAGAAAAGAAGCCGATTGATAGCAACAACAGAAATAAGGACCAAGGCAAGAGCAATTCATCAGCCTCAAACAGTAATGCCCAATTGGATGTTACTATGAAAAATGAAAATATACAAGACTTAATGGATGTACTTATGAAACAGGCGATGGAAATGAGTCAGAATGTGGATTCATCACTGCCGGATGATGATGATACGAGGAAATCGGAGGGAAAATGGTTGAACGATGACTTTCAGGTATCCTTCAAAGCTGTACTAAACAGAACGATGTCCACTATCTTTTTTTGTTTTTTTTTTTCGACAAAACTTTCTTCTATCAATTATTTAGTGTTAATGAGATGATTTTTCGTGAAGGCTTAACGGCTTTATTTTCCAGGAAAAGGAAGCTAAAGATAAAGTGGGAGAGAAGAAAAAAATCCAAATGAATACTGGGAAAGATGAAATAACATTGAGTCGAAGAGGATCTCAGGAAAGTACTACTACTACGCAAACTACGACGACGACGGAAACAAATAATTCCAGTTCCAGCAGCAGTGATGACTCTAGCAGCAGCGATGACAGTTCTGACAGTGATAGCTCTAGCTCTAGCGAAAGTGAGTCTGAAAGCGATGGGGAAAAAAAGAAAAAAGACGTCGATACCAAGGAAAAGGGTAAATAAAAATCGTGGACGTTCAAGCGTTATTTACTTTCTATTTAAATTCGCGGTTAAATCGCTTTCTAAAATAGCCGGTACGGTTATTTTATATAAAACTATGGTTTAAAATACTATTAAAATAAATTTGCAGAGGAGTATTTGTCAGAAGAAGAAGTTGCAACTTTGATCGCATATTGTTTGGCCGGCTTGGAACAGTGCGTTTTGCGATTTCCCGAGCATTATAAGTCTGTCTACCGACTTACGCACTTCTTTTTCAATAACAAGGTAGCAAAAGATACTTCAAAATGCAGAGATCTATTGTTGGGCACGTATACTTGCCAATTTTATCCAGCGCAATCCTTCCAAGGACTTTTCGCAGAAAGGAAGAATACTAACTTTTTCAACGTAAGTTTTATTTCAATACTATTCTTTACTAACAACTTATATTTATTCATTCATACGATTTCGTCAATTGAGTAATTTGTTCTAATCATGGTATGTAGTGTAGAAGTGCTTCTTTAAATTTGTCCACATCTAGAGACTGCACGAATAATGCTTCCTTCGCATCATTCTTAATATCATTACGACTCACTTCGGCGAGAGGATCGCGTATTTCGCTTTTTAATATTAATTTCGGCCACAACATCACAACTGCAGTCATTTGATCGGGTGGTGACCATCCTGGTGACATTTTTGGTAGGGCAACTCTTTCGGCAAGGTTTAAAAAATTCACCACAGAGGAGTTACTCTTTCCAAAGACTTCCTTGCGCCACTTCTGTATTACAAACAAAACCGAATCTTATTATTTAGTGCATACATTTTTTACTGCTTTTGCTTTGATAATTAAAGAACAATGTTATTGAACTTGATAACGCGTAATATATATAATGAACTTATTCTGATTCATTCTGTAGGACATACTAATCTAAACGTTTTAATTTTTTTGAGCAAAATTCTTACCTTTGATATGGCTGCATTTTTTGCTACCGAGAGCGGTAAAATAACCATTGTCTGGTTCTTTTCAGCCTTAGCCACTATATCATAACTCTTCCGATCAAATTCAGCATTAAATTCCAATTCGCCCCTTTTGCCTGATGTGCTCATCGAGATAAATTGTTTAACTTTTGATGAAAAACTTGAATCCAAATTAATTGCCAATGCAATATTCGTCAGTGGACCAAGAGTTAATATAGTGACTTCGCCTATATTTACAATATTTACTATATTTACAATTAATGTCGATCAATTTTATTGAGAGAGGTATTGATTATCTTAAGACTGCAAAGAATCTTGATTTATCGCTTTGTTGAATCGCTTTAAAACCCGATAAAGAAACTCCGCAATATACGTCATACTCTTTATCTAATTTTTATACCGATCGCTTATCGATTTAGTTTGCTATTTAAAAAGTAACATAGTAGCTAATAAAAAAGTAATGTCCACATGGTACGGATCTTGGAATTTACTTCAGTTCTTGTCTCTTTTTAAATATATGTACGTATCTATCATACCTGGGTATTGATTAATTATCTCAACTAAGGCATCTGGAGCTGTTTTATTTTTAACGGGCTCGATAATAATATCTTCTTTAAAATCAAAATCACCCAACCCATCTTTTCCAAAGAAATCTGCATCAAAGGCAGAACTTGGTGCTAACGATTCTGCTGCACCAATATAAACTGGAATCTGTTAACAAATATGATAAAATATGAATTTTTCACCTACTAAAGGCCAAGGTTCTCATATATTTCGGAGGATGGAAAAACGTTTTTGTACTTACGTCGGACCTTTTAGCAATCGTCAGAGTCTTTAATACATTCGTCACAACATTATCGACTTTCGTGTTTCCATTGACACAAGTAAAAGCTAATATTTCAAGATTTCCTTCGTCGATTTTCTGCGAAGCAAGAGTCAAAAGTATCGCCATAGCGTCGTCAGCTCCAGCATCAGTATCAATGATCAGTTTTCCCGGTCTTTTCAGAAATAATCCATCATGAATTTCTGAAGCTGAGGGGGCCAAAGTAACGCCAAGAATTCTGGATATTCATGTAACAAATACCAACAAACCCTTTTTAATCAATACGCTACGTTGAGAAACTGTAAATGCTTAGAAATTTCGCGAATTTATTTCTTAAACGCGTAAATGTACTTATTTTATTTTTAAACATTCTCATTCCTCGACGTTTCTTAATTTAAGTATAAAAATCTGAGGTAATAAATACTGCGGCGATAATAAACAATTTAGCTCTTCTGGTACCTGTTTGTCACGAAACACGAAATAATTGCAACAAAAATTACACTTTTTCGAGCCATTGCCTTAGTTGAACGGATTCACGACAAATGAAGCTTACATATTTTCTTGCTATTTTATCATTTAATTCCTTTGAGCTCTTTTTATCATTACGCAAGTAATTGGCGAAAGATATAACCGAGGCACGCCTCAAGATTGCATCTTTGCGGTTAATTTAAAAATTTCAGCCACACTGCCTTTTTGCCACAATTCATCATTCGTTTTTTTTTTTTTACTTTAAGTGAAACTTATTATGGTACAGTAATACGTGCAAGTTCACATGTTATAAAAACATCGCCTATGCTTTTGGCCTAATGAAGTTATCATTAAAATCACCTCTCGTTATTGATATCTCATTTTAATTTTTTTTCCCCAGTTATTTACTATTTACAATCATCTTTGTGTTTCAGTATCGACACAATTTGTGGAAACGTTTTCATTAGTGTGTCATTTTTCCAATTAATTATTAACATTTATGGTGAAATGGAAAATAAAAATAATTACGCTCAAAGCAATCAGTATTGAAGACGTAAGGGTATTTCATCAAGGAATGATTAAGAATAATTAATAATATCCCATGATGCTTTTTAACTCAGAAGTCTTACTTCCAATGCGCGTGGCAGCAATTCACTGATTATTCCCTCGACATTTGATAGTTATTTTAATTGATATGCCCTTATTACGTCAGAAGCAAAAGGCATGTGATTTTTAAATAGCGTGTTCAACAATCTATTAAAGAAAAATACTTTTCATGATCTTACGGCATTGCATACCCCCAAAAATACAACGGAACTGGTCTTTCGCTGATCTTAGTTTAATTATTCTCAGTGGTAATTTATTGCTAAATTTATTTCCAAATAAGATTTAAAATGTGCAAAGTATTTTACTCCGACAGTGCCCGTGATACTTACATAATAGCACAAATTACAAAGCACACACATATTGCTAACACTAGGAGAAGTACACGTTTCTTAGTCATGTTCTCAATCCGGCAAAGCAAATAAAAATGATTCCTACGTTGGCTTCTCGCTGACACTTCATTTCTTCGCGATCTAATTACCGTTAAATTAATCGTTGAGCAATGGTAGCTACACTTCTTATAGAGTGCTCTTTGGAGTACACGAAAATAGCATGGTACTTTACTCAAACAGTACACCGTATAGGGGATAGATACATATGTGAATATTTTGCATTCATACATTTCATTTGAGCAAACACATGGCAATACTCAATGTGATAAAGCACGTAAAATACGTCATCGGTTTCTTGAACAATTACACGATGTCTTAGTATTAATTTTATTACTTCTTAAACGTCCCCATTCCCATTTTGGATGTTAATGCCCGTTAACGTGTTTTTATTTGTTGCATTTTTACACCGAATGCAAGATTACACGAAAACGATTGTTGCTAGTGTTTAAAGTGTACTCATCGATAACGGGTATTTTATGAAAATGCAACAGCATTGTTAATTTTATTTAGAAAATGGTGTTAAGAATGGAACATGGTATTTAGTATAGGAGTTCTGTTTGATAGCGCAAGGATAGTTACTGACTGTTTACTGAGCCTCGCTAGTTGCTAAGAGACGAACGAACTAAACTCTGAGGAGGGAGTGTTTATATAAGTCATAAGAAAAGGTACATGAACTTTTCCTTATTTGCTCATTTGCAAGGTACGATAGAGTATGACTTTTTTCTCTGACCAAGATAGTTGGTTAATACCGAGATATGCATTCTAGGGAACATTACATGCTCGTACCAACAGTACTGCTAAACAAGTTGATTCGTAATCGTATTTAATTAATTACAAGGAAATTAATATATGTCCACATATTCATTATTTATTAATGAATAAACTGTTCCGAATTACAGGGAATATGGCGTATTCCTATCAGCGAAGTGGACAGGCCTGGGAGCTTTGCTTCCTACATGTCAAAATGCGTGACTCTGCTTATGCAGGTATTAAAGGAAACGGATGACAGCAGAATGCTCATGGAGTTGTACCTGCAACTTCGAAAAATCCCAGATTCGGATAAGTAAGATATAATGTGACTTTTACATATTTTTTACCGAAGGCATTCTCCGCAGCGAGTTTCAACCGTGGTATTTACCTTTATCTCTTGTAGGAAATATTTACGCGACTCTGAGAGGGAACAACTTTCCCGCCAAGCTGTAACCCTTTGCCTGCAATCTCTACGCACGAGGATACAGGCCATGGGGCCACCGAATGTATTGGAGAATGCACTTTTGGTCAGAACGGATACAAGGACTCAAGTACTTCTAGATGTCTATAAGATTTATCAGCAGGTTCAGAAAAATTTCCAAAGTAAGGAGTCAACGGTACAAACAATCTCCTCTCTGTTGATAGAAACCTACAAAACGTATACGGGGAACAAGGTAAGTGCACATACGTGGAACAATTCCAATTCATGCTTTGCTTCACCATGCAATGCATTCCATTTGTTTTTATGTATCTATAAAGAAGAGATTATGTGTACGTTCGTTATGACTATTCAAAACCGAAATAATAAATCGTTGACTCTTGTAGACTCCAGAAGGCAACGTCTTAGATATTGCTATCAAGTGCTGCCAACAACAAATTCTAGCTAACAAGATTGCAGGGTCGAATGCTAATTCGAACAGTGCTCAAGCACCCATTGCGTCCCCCAGTCCGGTATGTACTTAAATGAATATTTCCAATAATCATAAATGCCGTGTTGCATGCTTATTGTATGCGCGATAAATTGCTTCTTGCCCAACCGTTCATGTTTCTTATTTCTGCCTCATAGATAACGACGCTTCCTGTGCAACCTGTGTCCACATCTCCGCAGACTTCACAAAGTCGCAAGCCGTACAAGAATTCCAGCGGCACGGGACGTCCCAGAGGACGACCGCCAAACGTAAACAAGTATCTTCATGCAATGCAACAAGCCAGTGGCTTAAACAGCCAATTCGACCCGAAAGCTGGTTTCGGCAATTATCTAGGTGGCTCTGAAAATCACTTGATGAACCCATACTTCCTCAGCCCTCTGGTAGACTCCAACATGATATCAGCCATGTTAGCTACCAGTTTAGGGAGCAACATGATGGATCCTCTCTCAGCCATAAACTATCTAAATCACGTCAGCAGTTACAAGGACATCCTAAGGCAATACCAAGGCAACTATACAACAATGAGCAGCATGACTGCCGGCATGAACAGCGCGTCTAACACCATGGCCAACATGAGCAACATCTCGACCATGAGCTCTGCCGGGGCAGGCATAAACACGCTAACGAATGTGGGACACGTGAATAGCATGAACAACCTGGGTAATTTAACCGTCCAACAATTGCTGAATTATAGCAACGCCACCTCGTCGACATCCCGCACAACCCCAATGTACCATCAGGCCACGGCCAAGAGTACCGTGACTGCCATGTCGGCTACAAAAGACAGACCAAACATCTCCATAACACCTGTCAACACCGCGCCGCATAAATCCAAGAGTACCGTCAAGCTTGGCGAGTCTGGACCCGCGCATATGCCGAAGATGCCGCACATGTCCCAGGCACCGAAGCCAATATTGCATCCGCCAAGTTCCCAGGTGTCGTTGCTGAAAACCTCGGTCATTCAGCAGGTGAAAACGACACCGCCTAAACAAATGACAGCCCCGCAGATTCGGGTGTCGAAATCCCTGACGGAGCCTCAGCCTGCACATAACTCGTCGTTAGGACATTCCCCGTTGAAGAGCGGAAATGCTCCAAGCTCGGCAAGTCTACCTCATGCAGCACATGCAGCACTGGGGCCGTCTTTGAGTATGAAGCCGACGATACCTATGAATATACCCCCTGCGAGGCCAGGCACGTCGCTGCAACATAAATTATTGTCAAAGAAGCATCCACAGCGGTCACAGATGCCGCTGAATGTTCTTAATCCCCCGAAAAGACCGAAGCCCTCCAAACCCACTTCTGTTCCATCAATACCGAGGCCATGTCCGAGTACGTTCCAAAGTATGCTGAACCCGCTGTCGAGTGGTTCCCTGATGTCGCAAGGACCTTTCGTCCCGCCTGACCTGAGCGGTATCTCGGTCAATCCGATTGGTTCATCAGCATCCAACGGGCCGGGATCGAAAGCTTCGGGCTACAGGAAGCCATCTGTAAAACCGAAAACTTCCTCGATAGAAGGGGGGCCCGGCTCTCAGCCAAACCCTTTGGTGCAGGCTGGCTCCGCAGAAGCGTTATCTGTGTTGTCGCAGCTGAAGCAGCATGCTCACTTAGAGATTATTCCCCAGCAAAAGGGGCAGATGAAGCAGACCATGGATTTTGGGAAAAGCCTCGCAGGACCGATCAGTGTCATCTCTCAAAAAATGGCGGACCCCCTCAGACAGTCCAATTCCGACTGCATGACTGTATACGAAGTACCGAGAGCAAAGTCTGGAAATGTTGGTAGTGGTAGCATGAAGAAACTTGAGAAGTCAAAGGAGAGTGTCGAAATTATCACGTTAGACGATTAAAGACTTCGGGGCGACGGCAGGACTTTGATATATTGAAGGATCATCCCTTTAACTTTAATTAAATAATGTCGACGGGGTGCATGTGAGCTGAAGTATTACGTCGAAGTCTTCCCACCCTCGGAATATGGTGTCCACTTTCCAACCGAATCTCTTAGCGCAAATTGTTGTTCCGGGGGTTATCTTGACTTTGTTGCCAGCGATGCAACGTCTTGTGAATTTCACCGCCATTCCATGATTAATGGGTCAGTTAAAGGACACGAGAGTCTTGTAATATGTTGGCAGTAACAGTGTCGAGGGATGCGGCAAATGCCGAAAGAAAGTAACGCGATAATTAGCACGACTGTTAAGGACTTCAGTGTTAATAGCGATACTGGTAGATTAAGGTTCCTGCTTTGACAATGTTTAGGATGTTTCCTTTCCTTTTTATCGATGTGTGCTGTTGCCCGCAAGGTATAACAGACCTTATCAAATTAGATTTTTAATTCGCCTTGAGGAAGCTTGTGCTCAAGCTTTGTGTACGTTTATTATTATCGCAGGAAATATACTCCTATGATAAGGATAAATGAGCACCGATTTCCATGCAGGATAATCCTTCAAAACTAGGAAAAGCTCATGGCGAATTGAAAACAAACGAACAGCATTTGTTACGTATACATGATAATTTTGTGAGAATGTTTGTGAGCATACATGGAAGATTTATTTCCGGAGATTTTCTATTTATAGTATTCTGTATGTACGTAGCGTACGAGAATATTCACCAGTGTCATTTCTTTAAAATATTCAAAGCGATTTTTCAATTATCTGTCTACTTGAATTTTTTACACAAATTTTCGTGCAAGATGTAACTTATACTACACGATTCTGTTCCTTGTAACGTAATACGGTGAATTACGTGCGGAACGCTATCACAGGCAATACTGTAACAACAGAAGATAAACTTAACATTTTCATTGATTAATTCTCATAATTGAGGAAGCGACAAATTTGTGATATCACCTTTACCATTCATTCGCGAATCAAGTAGTGGAACGGTAACGCAATACTTATAAGTTAATTTATTTGTTTTCGTATGATGGAATAAATAGAATTTACCGCCACTTTCAGCCCAGTGATTCATCGCATCGATCGATTCTGCCCTCATTTAGGAAACACCCTACAAGATTTCTAATTCCAAGACTAAGTACCACGAGGAAACAGCCCTTTCTCGAACTTGCCAAGAATCTCTTGAAACTTCCCAAAACGAGGTACTCTTAATCTATCAATGACAAATGCTCCGTACTCATGCTACATAATATTTATTTCAGGAATAGATTCATTTTTTAGATACATTTTACCGATGAGAAGAAAGAGGAAAAAAAGGGGGAACACTTCAATTTCGAGGAAATCAAGGACCGGGTGGTCTCCATCTTGATTATCCGAATTAGCAGCAGCAGTCTGGGCAGCAGGAGCAGACCCGACCGCAGGTGTTGACGGACAACTTGAGACACACGGAGGTGCATTGGTTGACGCATCCACAGCCACAGCCACAGCCGCAATCACCGCAGCACCCACAGCCACAGCCGCAATCACCGCAGCACCCACAGCCACAGCAGCAATCACCGCAGCATCCACAGCCACAGCAATCACCGCAGCATCCACAGCCACAGCAATCACCGCAGCAGGGGTCGCAGCAGCAACTACAGCAGCAGTTACCGCAGCCGCAATCACCGCAGCCACAATCACCGCATTCTTCTTCAGCTTCAGCGTCCTCTTCAGCCTCCTCAGCTACTTCTTCGGCGGCTCGCTTGTGATGGTTGTGGACGTGTTTGTGCTCGGCTGCCTCTTCGCTGTCCACGCCTGCTGGCTGTGCTGCATTTACGGCTCGTTTGTGGACTCTGTACTGGCCATCCCCTCTGCAGTCGTCGTCAGCTGGTACTGCTCCAACTGATCGCTTGTGGACTCCGTACTGGCCATCCCGTCTGCAGTCGTCGTCAGCTGGTACTGCTCCAACTGATCGCTTGTGGACTCTGTACTGGCCATCCCCTCTGCAGTCGTCGTCAGCTGGTACTGCCCCAACTGATCGCTTGTGGACCCCGGACAGACCTTCCGGTCTGCAGTCGTCGTCAGCTGGTACTGCTCCAACTGACCGCTTGTTGTGAACGTGCTGCTCCTGCGGATGCTCTTCTGCTCCCACTTTGGGAATGGCTCTAAAACATCAAATAGCTTGTGTAAAATTTATCAAAGCGGTTACCATGACGCCTTCGTTGTTCCTTAACACTAGTTTCAAGATAGAAGACCGTTAATTTGAAGATTCAGTATAATAATTATGCATGTTACTACTTGTATTACAAGTACATGAAGGAGGGGTACATCTATACAGAACGTAACAAAATTAGTGGCCCCAGTTTATCGCCATCTGTGTGGAAAATGAAGTCGAAATGTCCTGTGAAATTCTTCCTACGCTACATAGTGTAGCCTATAATCATTAATTTAAAAATTGCGAATCAGGCTCGTTGATTAACGGTAAGCTATTTTGTCATTAATTATTATAGGTGGATTATGGACTGTGGAAAGAAATTGTACAGGACTTTTCGACTCCATCATCTACAAGGATAACGATGTGTTAACCGTGGCCACAAATTCTGGTATACTGTATAAGGATACCAGCCTCAATCTTCAGAAGTGTGCAAAGTGCACTTTGAATAAGTGATTTTTATGGAACAAGCGCTAATGTAACATGTACTACTTACAGGCTTTCTCAAAGTAGAACCGGATTTAATATGAATTTTAATAATTTCTAAACAATTTTCCACCGCGTAACCGCGAAAAATCAAAATTCTTGTCGTTTTGGAAAAAGAAACGTTCAGTTTCATAATTATTTCTTTTTACATACTAGTCGATTGATTTTTTGTATTGCTGTTTATAGATCTTTATACTCACTTTCCGCTAACGACGGCAAAGACGGCAAAGGCCGAGAGAAATACTACTGCGAACTTCATGCTTGCTGATTTTCTGCGAGTGTTGGAACTTGCGACTCTGGTGGAACTTTAGTGTTCTGATTGAGGAGTGCTCAAGTGTGCTTCTAACGGCGGATTTTGCATCTTTTATACTACTAGAAAATGTCCAGGCGATCCCACCAGTCGATTTTTCGACGGCTCATTTAGGCGAATTCTATGAATCCGAATGTCCGAATATCGGCGATCAGGAAGTAAAGAATTTCAAACAATGCGCCGAATCGGCTGAAGCGAGCACGTGCTTTTTGTCATTCTCTGAGAGAGCGATAAAGCGCCTTGAGTCGTGACGGATTTAAACGAAAATATTATAAACCGCTTCAATAATCAACCTAGAATATACCTATACACGGTTTGCATACGAGCGACCATGACGATTAAGCGCGGACACGATTTTGCTCGATTTCCATTCAAGATAAATAACCTTATCGTTTGAGAATGTTATCAGGATACATTTTGGTAACGGGAATAGATGTAAATTTTCTCTTAAAGCTCCGAACCTTCAGTTGGTATTCCCAAAACGGGAATATTAACATAATATCTGTACTAATTATATTTTTTAGGTAAAGTTATCCTTATATATAGGGTTATAACGAATATTTGCTTTCGCCACCGCTGCATATGAGAGTTACACATCATTTATTTATTTCCTTTTTATATTAAATTCTGAAAACCTCTCGCTTCATTTCGACATTCGCTTTCGCAATACGTTTCTTCATTCGCCTTCGTTTCGGATTTTGATATAAATATTCTCCTTACATTAGTAGGGTTGTAACGAATATTTGATTTCGCTTCCACCTTATGCCAAAGTTTCGAATTCGCTTTCATAAGACGACTTTCCCTCTTTTGCTTTCAGTAGAAACACTTTCGTTACAACCCTATGTTTAAATCAATCGCCCCTGAAACAGGCAATTTTCTATGTTCGAAGCTCACCGGGAAGATGTGCTTAAGGCGTATCGTCGCGCACGCGTAGTCACAGGCGCTCCGTGGCGTCATCTGCCGGAGAGCCTGAGAAACTTCGAGTAACCGGTGGCCGGCCAACATCATCATGTCACGTGACCACGTCGTATTGATACGTGTCGGCGAAGCGAGCCACGATTTGCTGTCGCTTGCCAGCCGAGGGCCCGAACGTCTTTGCCGTTCGCATCATTTTAAGCGTGTCCGGGTCGGGTGCCGTCTACTTTGGTGAATCAAAAAGTCATCGAGAAGCGAGCGAAGACGCAGCGTGCGCAACGAATCCATCATGGGAAGTAAGTGACCTATCCGTGGATATTAAATTAATTCAGAAGCGTCCGTTTCCCTCGACTTTTCGAAGGAGATTTAACCTCTCGAGACGTACGCTCGCAACAACATATTGCTTGCGGGTCCTCGTTTTTGCCTTCGGAAAGTCTGCCAAGCCCGTGGAGTGTGTTCCAGGTACTGATTGACTCTTTTTTTCAGTAAAATTCCTGGAAGTGATAAAGCCGTTTTGTAGCATTCTACCGGAAATAGCGAAGCCCCAACGTAAGGTGAGTTTCTGTCTGTCTATTTCTGGCTTTCTTACACGTGTACCGTTTTATGTACCGTATTCCGACAATTCGCCGCGGTCTACGGGTAATTCTGCACTGAAGACCTAGCGATTCTGTCCAAATTGAATTCCTCGTATTGCGTGACAGATGCATACCCTACAAACTATTTAATAGGAGAATAATTAAAGTATTTTTGTTCTTTCAGATTCAATTTAGGGAAAAGGTTTTATGGACTGCTATAACGCTATTTATCTTCTTAGTATGCTGCCAGGTATACCCATCTTGCGTTTAATGTAGTCATAATATTATATTATTGGAAAATTAGGTTCCTATTCTTATCGATTAATGTGATTCATTGAATTTATGTCCATTGCAATTATTTTCAGATACCTTTGTTCGGAATCATGTCTTCGGACAGTGCGGATCCATTTTATTGGATCCGTGTGATACTTGCATCCAACAGAGGTACCCTGATGGAATTGGGTATTTCACCGATTGTTACTTCTGGTCTTATCATGCAGCTTCTGGCAGGGGCCAAGATCATAGAAGTCGGTGATACACCGAAAGACAGAGCTTTATTCAATGGAGCTCAAAAGCGTATGCATCGGTTTTATTGATATCAAAATTTAATATAAAAGTAACACATTTAGTAATTTAATTGTATCTGTCTTACTTCAACAGTGTTTGGAATGGTTATTACTGTTGGTCAAGCAATTGTATATGTAATGACGGGCATGTATGGTGATCCTGCTGAAATAGGAGCAGGTGTATGTCTGTTGATCATCATTCAACTGTTTGTTGCTGGCCTGATTGTTCTTTTACTGGATGAGTTGTTACAAAAAGGTTATGGTTTAGGAAGTGGTATTTCTCTATTCATTGCTACAAATATCTGTGAAACCATTGTTTGGAAAGCATTCTCCCCAGCAACCGTTAATGCCGGTGCGTCTTTCTATGACATTTAACTAATTCTATACTTAATTTATACTTGATCTGCTCATATAATTTATACACGTTCTCATTTTATTAATAGGTCGAGGTACAGAATTTGAAGGTGCTGTAATAGCTTTGTTCCACCTAATGGCAACAAGACAAGACAAAGTTCGAGCCTTGAGAGAAGCTTTCTATAGACAAAATCTTCCTAATCTGATGAATTTGCTTGCCACTATTTTTGTCTTTGCCATAGTTATATACTTCCAAGTAAGTATATCTAAAAGTACTTACATTTACTGTTTCTTCCAAACCCTTACCATTCCATTGATCACTATCGTTGGGATAGGCTGTGAATGGAAGAAAATTAACTGCATGCATATTGCTTTAAAAAGTTTTAAATCAATAAACTTTTTAAATCACAGCTTTGCGACACATTGTGTTCTAGATTTTCTTAAATAGTAACGATTTTCAACTACTTTTTAAATTAACACCTGACTTTATTGCCTTCCAGGGTTTCCGAGTAGATCTACCTATAAAGTCAGCACGGTATCGAGGCCAGTACAGCAGTTATCCAATCAAACTTTTCTACACCAGCAACATTCCTATCATTTTGCAATCCGCCCTCGTATCAAATCTGTACGTCATATCACAGATGTTGGCGGTAAAGTTCCAAGGAAATCTGATCGTCAACTTATTGGGAGTTTGGTCAGATGTTGGAGGTGGTGGACCGGCAAGATCATATCCTGTTGGCGGTTTATGTTATTATCTCTCACCACCGGAATCCGTTGGTCACATTCTCCAAGATCCTGTTCACGCTTTCCTTTACATTCTTTTCATGTTGGGTTCCTGTGCTTTCTTCTCAAAAACGTGGATTGAAGTATCGGGCAGTTCTGCCAAGGATGTGAGTAACTTTTACATGCGGTTTGTCACAAAAAAAAAATACGTGTATATTTCTATAATTCAATGTAATCTTTCTCCAGGTTGCCAAACAATTGAAAGAACAACAGATGATTATGGGTGGCCACCGAGATAATTCCATGATCCGTGAATTGAACCGATACATCCCCACTGCTGCTGCTTTTGGTGGTCTTTGTATCGGAGCCCTCTCAGTTTTGGCTGACTTCCTCGGTGCCATTGGCTCCGGCACTGGTATCCTACTTGCCGTTACAATCATCTACCAGTACTTTGAGATCTTCGTCAAAGAACAAAGTGAAATGGGTGGCATGAGTACGCTACTCTTCTAAGCTCAGGATTCATAGACTTGAAAAGTGAATTTTTTTACACTCGCAAGAACTGAATAATAATTTATTATAATATAAGTTCGGCCGGGATTATCATTTCGGTAGCTTATCCGACGGTAGTGCCGGCCCAACGAGGGTCTTTCGTGCGAGAATGGGCCGCGTGAGTTTATATTTGGAATGTATTATCGGTATTATCGGTGTTCAATGAATCAACCGAGGTCACGATACGTACACCGAGTTGCGTCTGTACGAGCGAAAGTAACTTTCACGGAGTTCTCGTAACACTTTGTTACTCTCCTTCCACTGAGTCTTCAAGAGATTGATTTTAATTTGTTGCTCGCGGTAAGTGCGTTACCTACAAGGATCTGTGCAAACACCCAGTGTTATAAAATTAGTTATTCTTGGAAACTAAGAAATTACTTTGTGAACGATGACGCGTTCCCTCTTGTGTGGAAAGTACGGAACAGACTTCCGAGATTAAAATTGAAGGAATATGAAAGATTACGATGTGATGGATAACAGTGTATAGTTTTAAGCACGTTGACATTACGTAGGTGACCTTTCGCCGGATGTTACAGTTGCAACAAAATACCTTTGATACTCCGATAAATGTACATAGATAGAGAAAACGCGGTGATCCTCGAAGGTTCTTTATACTGACGTTTGAACGTCGGCTTTGGCCACGTTGAAAGACTCGGCGCGGTATGAGAGTGGAATCGCGCAATGTTTATATACATATATAAACGGCAATCATTGTTAGTGATCTATCCACTTTTTAACGGGACGAGACGCGTCCCCGAAAAGTGCTCGTACAGCGACTGATTCTAACAGTGTTCCCTCATATTAGTTAACATCATTCCTGTATTATTATTCAATAATACAAAGTAAATTAATACTTGTCTCGTATATTTAGGGGAGTACAATTTTATAAAAACTTCAAAGTGCTCTTTGACTTCCTCGCCAAGCCCTTCCTCCTCTTACGGGACTTCGCACTGCGGTCACGACTATTTTTATTAACACAAACACTGTAAAGTTAATAGGGAGAAAATCTGTGGACACTTGTATTTGAATCAGAAATAATATGCTGTGACGATACGGAGTACAAACACTATCACATCCTTTTCTTTTGAACAGTGTTAAGAATGGGACTAAAGGGAATAAAATGTTTTTCTATAAAATTGCTCTTTATAATGTATATATACAAAATGTACAAACATAACTAGTTTATAGCATGACTTCACTGATGCTAATTCATCGGCAGTAGAATGGATATGTTATTTCTGCTCTTCGTAAAATAGAGTGGAATAGAGAGCACCCAATTTATGAATGTTTGCCAAAAGCATGAGGCGGAGGACATCTGTAAACCGAGTGTTCGGAATTGACGTGTCAGTGTCACGCCACGCTACGTTGACACCTTCGGTACGTGTAAATAATGCCGGTGAAGGCACATTTTCATGCATGTATGCCCACATACATTCACGCATTACTGTATTGATCTATAACAGAAAGCACGAAATAATAAAATTAACCGCTAGTTAAGAAGTTAAGTTACCATTATCTCCGCCACGACGTACGATGTTCTCTTTCTAAGTGCTTGAACACCGTTAAATTTCTAAGATCAAATAAGTCGATTGAAACATGACCACAAAAACAAAAAATTACTTTTCTTGTTTGCTTCTGTTAAACTTTGTTTAGTCGTCGAAGATAAGGCAGTGAATCTGGTTTTACGTATATTGAAGAGATATTGTACCTGATGTGGCTCCAGCATAGGCAAAACATCTCTGATATTGGCAAGTGGTGGAGGTAATAATTGTCCGAGAGACATAATGTTTGTCAGCGAAATACTTTCTGCCGTATTCCAATTGGACATAATCGTGGCAGCAATGCCTCTTAACAGAACTGAACAATAAGACAAGGCAGGCCTGTACCAAGCCGTCAACTCCAGCAGTGTCCATAATAATGGAACGTCTTTAAATGTTCGACGGATTTGTAAATCTCTTTCAACGGTGACCTGAAATTTAATCATAAAGTGCATTTGAATTTTTGACGTCCTAATTGGTAAAAAATTGTGACATTAAGCAGCTTGCATACGTACTTTGGTAAACTCTTCATCGGGCCACGGCAGTCCATTATACATAACGTCTGGGGAAATTAACTCCACCAAGAGCAAACTAACAATTGTCAAAGCGTCTAAATTAACAGGATGTTGACCACCTTCTGGATTACTGCAGCATGCCTATGACAATTATACATGAGGCAATTTTAATTCAGACAGTATTTTGCATAACGCTATTTCACTTCGAATAGAATCACGTATTCATGTATGAATAAAAATGCCGGGAACACTGAAGTTAACCAAACCAACTGTCTAACGAAAATTTGGGAACGATAACAGTTTTTCATCCAGATGGATCTGTAATAAATGATTACTATCTCTTTTACCTTGATAGTCTCTACCAATAACATCTTATTCAGGATTATAGTTTCTTTGTCGAATTTATTTTCGGGTGGAGGCTTCCTAGGACCTTGTCCAATTACACCAGCGTGAAATACCGACGAATGCCTTTGAGCCAACATAGCACTTGTACCCTGAAGAAATCAAGAAATTACGCTACTAAAATTATTTTCAAGTATTTCGAGAGATTACAACATTGATAAACGGTTACCTGTTTATGGTTTTGTTGCAGTAACAAAGGATCCTCTGTATGGGATTCAAACTTCTCTTTTGCCCCAAAGTATTTCGATGGATCGTTGTAAATACTGTTTTCTAGAAGTTCCCTAAGTGCAAGAACTCTTGCGCATTGAGAATAGCACGACAGCATTTGAAGTAATTCACACACTGTCTTCACTCCACGCACCTTCTTAATCATATCTGTATAATGAAAGTATATTTAGATTCAGTCAGTCTTATTAAGGTATATTTAAACACTCGCCATTTCGTTGAATGCAAATAAAGAAATATCGTGTAATGGCTCTGGTCAATTGTAATGTAAGTTGTACGCTAGGTACAAAATGATCCACGTCAGAAGAACCTAATAGGCCCAGCATTTCAATAATGTCATTTGCAAGATCGATATCATCTGTTTTCATTAAGAATGCCGATATTTGTAATAAATTTGAACGGACTGCTCTTGTAACTGGCCTGGATCTAAGAATTACTGCTTTATCACTTTTCTCCCACCTGGAAATTTTTTAATCATATTTATTTTTCAACTTTAACCAACGTAATGTTAATATATAAACGAAGTCTTACCTTAATAAGATTGAAAGGTTTTGGTAGAATCTACGTGCTTCGTCATTATTTGTTGTATGTACATATTGTAACTCTCTGAGTGCCTGTTCCGTTACTTGAGTAAAATTACTGTTATCAACAGTATTACTTTCAGTTTCTGATTTGTTAACGGGTGGAACAACAATATTATCGCTCACGAGTCGTACTAAAGCAGCTAAATGAAAGTTGCTTTGACACGTCTTTAACATGAATGATGCCGAAGATATCAAAACATTTGGAAACTGTGCTCCGAGGAGAGATAACAATCTGACTGCTGTTTGAACTCTCAATGGATGCGGATTTAGAAGTAACGGTAACAGTGATGGTAGATCTTGTTTTACAGAGTTTAAGAGTGATATATTGGCAGACTGTGGACCATGAGTGCGGACTAAGACATCAATTTCTTTTAAAATTAATTCTAAGATCTCTCGACAAACGTTTTTAACACTTTGTGCTGCATTCACGCTGTGATAACCAACATTGCTGGTATTTAGACTTGTGTCCAGTAAAATGTTAATGATCTGCGAGGCACCTTGTTCGCAACCCAAAGCTAGATGGACCGTTAAATCTATTAAAGCTTCTGGTCGGTTATCAAAATATTTGCACCAATCCGCTGCAAATAATGCCAAATGTGGTATCACGTCTGGTCTCACTGAAATTTTAATTTATTAATTTTAGCTATAGTCATGTATAAGCTAAGTTATATTTACTGGAGATACTTACAAATCTGTAAAACATCGGTCGTAATAGCTTTAAGTAATGTTTGTGACAAAGAAGCCAAATTCACAAGGAATGGAACAGTTGCTAACTTCTGCTTTCTTGTATCGTCATTAATATTTACATTCTCGTCCAAACTCCACTAAAATCATTCGGATATTACACGTTGAAGTCTTGCTTTATCTACTACTAGAATCAAGTTTAAAGCCAAAGAAACCTACCCTAAATAAATCAAGCAGAGCTGTTCTAATATCAAGAAAATGACTGCCTGCTAAGTGCCCAAGAATCCCAACAACGGAATTTAACTTAGGATTCTTGATGTTACTTTCGTACCCCATAGCACAAAAATCTTTCAAGCCACATGATAAAACTCTCGTGATGACCGTGTTAGGAAAACAACTTCCAACATGAGCAACCACCCAGTCAAAATGAGGACTGTGCAAAACACTAGTATCTAAAAGTGCTTTAATGCAAGATTCTGTGTCTGAGTGTATTAAACATTGAAGACATTGTCCAGTTATATCGATGAGAGTACGAGTCGCTCTACATGACATCCACTGCTGCAGAAAATCATTTATTCCAGCACTAATTGTTAAGCATCCACGGTTTGAAAAATCCGACGATATCTTTCCTACAGTGGATAAAAATAACATGTACCTTAGCTTGTTTTCATATCAATGAGAGTTATCGATAACGACTCACCTAGTAACTCCAAAGACCATGCCGATACAATAGGAGCCCAAGCCTCTGGGTTCGCATTAATGAAATTATTAAGAACTCCGTGTATTTCAACAATGATAGCTTCTTCGCTAATCGGTAATGTTTGATTAGCCTATAAAATATGTATTAATACAATACATACACTAATATGTACCTAAATATATAATATCCTATCATAAAAAATGATTAAAAGGACCATCTTACCTCAATTTGACGCACATACTTATTGACAGCAACAAAAAATACGCTACAAAAATATTCGAGCACGGCATCTCTCGCAGCTGGTAGATTTTGCAGAAGTGATAACGCCGTTCTTGTTAAATCAAGGGTATTTACATTGTGATTCGATCTGACAGCACCAGAAATAAATTTTCTAACTTCAACCAAAATGTCCTGAGGAGTCGGTGCTTCAAGAGAGTGTGGCATTTTCGTTAAATTCTAATAACTTGAGCCACTTCGAAGCACGATAATAATATTCCTTTAGATATAATTAATCTGCAATTACTTTTTTGCGAAAATATAACATCTTAACGATTTTCTTCATCTTACACGAGTGAGATGTTAAACCATTTTGAGGTTAGAAGAGTAACTCGCTTTTTTAAATTCTTAGACCATAAATATCTAGACCTCGCATAGCAGCAGAGGGCAGGTATGTACCTTTATTCAAAAATATTACTAGACTGGAAGTGCTAGTGATCTCGTTCTTTCATATAGGGAATACGTAATTAGGCATTCACGCAAGCCGTCATTTCGCGTATGATTTTTACATTACCCTACTACTAGCGTTATCGAGCGTTTTCAAGCGTTTCTAGAGCGTTTTCGAACGTTTCCGAGAGTTTCTCGATCATTTTTAGAACATTTTCGAGCGTTTTCGAGCGTTATCGATCGTCTTTCGAGCGTTTTCGGGCGTTATCGAGCGTTTTTCGAGCGTTTTCGAGCGTTATCGATCGTTTTTCGAACGTTGTCGAGGGTTATCGATCGTTTTCAAGTGTTTTTGAGCCTTATCGAAGGCCGTACAGTGCCGTTGCGTGTTGTTAAGTGCAGTAGAGTCCCGTAGAGTCCCGCACGAACGCACTCATGCTCAACGCCATGCCCCGTAGCTTGGCGCTTGGCTGGTTGGGACGCGCGAAGATTTCTAGGAACGATCGCACTCGTACAGATTCGCTTCATGCGAGTTCCGTACGTGATATCCACGCGTGCCCCAAAGCTCCGTATCACGTCGACTTCGGAGCAACAATGTACTTAGAGTAAAGAGGGCGCCACGAGTGTTCTTCCCTTACCATCAAAAGCGTGCAGTTCGGTAAGCGTAGGTAAGCCACCACCGTCAACTGCCGCATGGTATTACTGTCAGGGGTACGTGAGCCGCCAACTATGACTGGTAGATGGCACCGCCATCGCGAGTGCGCGATCCCCTACCAGAAATTCGTTGCGCCGCTCTTGGGGGCAAAAAACAGTGAAAGCTGACGTACGAAACCAGAGGGCAGCACAGGATGCGATCTCACGATCCTGCCCGTGAGCAATCTCCCAACTCATCTCTGGTAATAAACGCCCTGGCTAGTCTCTTCTCTTTAGTTTAAGCTTAAACGCGTCGGCATCCCCGAGAGCCGCCATGTTTCCCGCACGAAATTTGAAAGGCCGAAACGAGCGCTTTTCCCCAAATTTCAATGTTATTTAACCGAATAGAATAAAGTTTGTATAACCTTTACTTTAAGTCCTATCCAAAGAAACTAATAGCTTTAATAAGTTCTCCGTGAACTGACTTTTCCCAAAGCAGCCGTAAATGTAAACGTGAAAGGAAAAACTTGGCACTTTATGTGCATGACATGTCTGCCAATGTTTTATTACTATAAAATGTCCATTGCACATTTACATACTGCCCTTTTTTTTTTTTCGCGTGCACTATTATCTCAACAGTTTCCACTACTTAAGTATAGAAATATTACAAACAGGTACAAAAGCTACTCTACTGTTTCGTATCACCTTATTATTTTTAATGTTACAGTTAGTCGTACAAAGTTTCCTTGCGCGTATGTATATCGCGGCACTAAATGCATACTTCCGAATGACGTCTACTTAGTCGCCTAGATAAAGGAATGAATTTAACGTTTATGCACGACCCTACAGCGTCGTCGCGTAATGTTAAACCTTTTACATCCTACACTTAGTCGAAGTTGATTCTCGAAGTGAACGCTTTATGACGATTACTCGTTGGGACATGTAGCAGTCTTCTTTTGCACTTACGCAATTATGCACATCGCGCGGTTTCCACTCAAAATATCTTGATTTCAATTTTGAGTGCAAACGACGCATTGATCTTAGGAGATACAGAGGAGATACTAATGATAAATGAACTCGTTAGACCGGATTAAAAAGAATGAACCATGAAAATGTACCATGAATTTCTCTCCGTGAAATGCTCGAACACGTTTAAGAAATTAAAATGAAATATGTGCGATAATGCATTTTATCGCGGATCGCCAATTCGTGGATATTTAAACGATGAAAAGTCCGTACAAAATATACAGATACGAATAAGTAGCCATGGACGTTCTTCTGAATATCTTTCATAACTTAACTGACCTGAACATGGTGTGCATCGTCTTAAGATGCATTTATGTCCACCGAAAAGAAAATGCTTACTGGATTCCAGTGCGTCCTTTGAATTTCACACCGTAAAACGTTAAAACTTATGAGAATAGATTTATAACAGGATCGTTTAAACACTCGTGTGGATTGAATTTTCAGATTGACACCCAATTATTTATTTTCTTTTGGACATAGGTACACTTTGATGCCACACACCTGAATAATCGCTCTGCATTAGATTCGTATAATCGTAATTATGCCGGTAAGCACCTGTGACAGATAATTTAAAAAAGTTGAAACGTGTCCTTATCGTGATCGGAAATTAATATCACCAAGCTAGGTAGAACCTGTAGCATCGAAATTTCTCAAGAAACATGTTATCCTGTGCCGTGCGTTACGGAAGGAATATACCTTAATATAATCACACAATGTCATGGATATATACAATGAATCGAGTTACGAACAGATTAGTTCGAATTAAAGTCATTAAATATAAGGACGTTTCGAAACAAGAATTTCGCACGTTAAGAGGTATTTCAACTAAAAAAAAAAAAAAAAGGAAAAAAAAAGACAAATCACGATCATGCACGACGTGCTCGCTTCAGTCGATCGAACGTACAGAAGAAATCTGCATCAAAAGAATCACGAGTTCGCGCTAGGCCAAACGTTACCCTCTCTGAAACTTCCATCAAATATTTATTCCACCAGAGGTGTTCCCTAATCCTGCGTGTGCACAAAACCGAGTAAGATTAATGCGCGTATAAAAAGAAAAAAAATAATAATAATAAACTAACGGAAGGTCTAAATTAAAAGCTACCGATGTTTATTCTAAAAAGAAAAAAAAAAGAAAAGAAAAGAGGATCATATTTACAAGAATACAACATTGTCTATACAAAGCTCATGTTTAAATCGATTCGATCCTGCTTATGAGAAACTAAAGACGCTTACACGTTACAGATTAAACTTAAACCGACTGTATTAGGTTGGTCCCATTATTTGCGGATTTAACGGAGCCTCTGTACACCTTAAAGCCAAAAAAGTGATCCCATCGCGAGGATGTCAAGTCGACGACCAACCCTTGAAGAAGGCCCCGAAGGAGGAAACGCGCTAAACGACGACGCTTGGAATAAAGTCAGACGAGTGGAACGGCTGGTTGAGTAAATGCAAATCGGCCTTGTGCACCTGGCTCGCCAGGTGAAAAAGAATAACAGTACGCTCGTAATTTCCTTGGTCTCGGTTAAATCGAGCCGTTCGATAGAGGTCCACGGGCGAAAAGGCACGTCGGGTGCCCCAATACGTGACGAAGTCGCGAATGCGTTAAGAACAATCTCGACGGTGTAGGAGAAATGAATTTCGGAGCGACGTGTCGTCATAGTGTAAACGCTTTCTTCCGGTAATTCAAGTTCGACTAACTGGGTCTCTTCGCTTATATACAACTGTACACAGTCCCCTATCTTAGTAATACATTGCAGTACTCTCTTTCGCGGTCGCTCCAGTCGGAGATGGATTTTTAAAGCTGCGGCCAGATAAATTGATTCACCAGGGAATAACGAGCACAGATCATCCACATAGATTCTCCGTATATCTGGATTAGGTCGCAGCATTAAAAAAGTATCCTACCGACGTATTCGGACACATTTACGATACAAAGTTAAGTAGTGCTGTAGGTGAACGCGACGGACTGGTCGCCGTTACTTAAGCAACGATTACCTTCCCGGGTGGAAGGTAAATTCGACATTTGATCCTGAGGAAACTTCGTGTTTTACAGTCGCGAGGTAAGAGCCGACACGTCTAGTCGGCCCCCGAGAAATTAGATTACAAGCCGAGCGATTCCCAAATCTCCGCTATTCTACAAAACTTTACATTGTCGGATCCTTTCGCGGGTGCCTTCCCCGTTTTGTACTCTACCTGTATAAGCAAAATCTACGTAATTCAATGCCTCGTCAGGTATACACTTGCAAGAAACATTTACAATAACTACTTATAGTCCAGCAATGTATAAAAAGTATAATACATCAGTCTGGCCAATGGGCTGACCAAATACTTAACGAGCTAAGTTAAACCTTAAGTCTGTTTCGGTCTGTCAAGAGCAGTCGTGGACTCGCTGGATGACAAGTGAACGACAACGAAAACGCGCCTTTTACGCACACGTCGTGCGTACTAGAGTAATCCTAGGACAGATTCGAGCCTTTGTTCCTTGACTTCTTGTTGGAGCTCAAGTCCGACTCGCACTTAAGGTCGATCAATTGCGATCACTGACGAACCGTTCGCGATCCAATTCAAATGTATACTTCAGATTGAAATTCGATCCAAACTAGATATCTACGCCTGGTCAAATTCAAACCCAAGCTCCTAGAGATATACGTTAAATAAGAGTCATGAAACCTCCATACCTGACGGTATGGAGAATTGTACAAAATTGAAGAGATTTATAAATCAGCCTAGCGAAGCGCGGCATTTTATCTCCAAATTATCAGACTTTTCGATGACTGTCGCACACGACATCACTCAGGAATCCCGAAAATCTCAAAAAGTAGAACATTATCGGCGTGTATCGAAGGAAGTGTAATCCTGTATGTACAATTGCGCAGGACCGCGACATTGCCTCGTCGACCGATTAATGAGAATCTGGCCAAAGGACCGAGTTAAACGGTGCAGCATCGCCACAAAAACTTCATGCTTGTAATTAGGTACGTCCTCGGCACGACGTACGACTTCCTGCCTAATAGTTACTTGAACATCGGTCCCAAAGACCATGAGTTCTCTCTCGAGGCTCATCGATTGATAGGATACTCTCTAAGCGTCACTATTAACAATTCTACCACCTAACGAGCGGGATTTCCTATACAAGTACTTCCCAGAATATTAACAGAATCCCTCTACTTAGACCACTCAAGGTTCTAAGGATGAGCGACGAGTACTAAAAGGAAGGACTCTCGCGTTTCGCCGTGAAGCCACCCAGAGGTCTTTATCGCGAATCTTCTACCAGGTAAAGAGAAAAGGATCCAATTGAACCCTGCATCCTCTGAAAATCGGTTCCCTCGAAATCGATCGTCGAATCACCGACATCTGGGAGCCTTCGATCCCTGGCGAGGGTGCCACGCCATAAGAGTCCCTCCGCCTCGCAACTCTCATCCTAAGCCGTATCAATCCCGAAAAGGAAATCCCGCTCGCGGTAAGTAAATCGCCAGAGATCGTCAGAAGCCGAAGACCGCTTTCGGAGAAACATTCTCCAGCGCTCCCGACACGCTGCGTCCTCTCACGAAGGCACGGAAGAGCCTTCGAGGATGTTGAAACGCAGCGCATGACGCACGAGGAACCTCGCCTCGGATCCGAGGTCGGCTTACAAGCTACGGCCTACAAAAGCTAGATCTTCAATCGATCTTGAGGAAGGACCCGGTGGCGGCGCCCGCCCTGAGGAGCAGGGGCGTTTTCCTCCTGGAGGTCGTGACGGGCTGGTAGACGTAGTTGCCCTGCAGAGTCCCCGCTAGGCCCTTCTGCCTCTTGGCCGAGGGGCTTAGCTCGTACTCAAAGGGCTCCCGTTTCGAGATGTTGAGCTGCATGTGCAGCGACTCCTTGTTGTCCTCGATGTCGATCTCATCGTAGACCTGCTCGGTGATGTCGACGTCGCAGTCCTGGCTGCTCTCGTCGTAGCTGTCGGTGACCGAATTCGCGGCCACGTGGCCGTTGATGGGCTCGTCGTAGGCAGTACTCTCTTCCGTGGTCTCGTCCCCGGAACTCTCGGTCTCCTCCTCGAGGTCGCCGCTGCCGGCGTACTTCATCTCGCCCCTCTCGAGCAGCTCCAGGTGGTCCGGGTAGATCATCGCCTTCTTGATCGCCGAGGGGTCCTTCCGCGACCACTTCTGCACCTCCTCGTCCATCTTGGCGATCTTCGCCGGGTTGATCGCCCACAGGCAGCCCTTCCTCTGGTTCCCGTTCCCGGCTGGCTTCTCGATCTTCTCGAAGCACTTGTTCAGCGACAGGTTGTGCCTCACCGAGTTTTTCCAGCCGTTCGGCGCCGTCTTGAAGTACGGGAAGTGCTCGCTGAAACGAGACCGGAGAACATTTAATCATTTTTTATATATTCTAGTCATCCGAGTTTTACGATATACACGAGGAGCAACGGAGCATAGATAATTGCGGAACGTGAAAATTTGAGTTCTCGTCATTTTGACTCAATTAAAGTGACGTGAAACCCTCAAAGTCAGTCGTTTCGAGTAAAACACCTTTTTTTTTTTCAAGAGTTTATGAAATTTAAAAATTTATGTAACGCCATGCCAGGCTTCAAAAATTATTTAATTCAATTGTATATTTGCCCAAATTTCGGAACGTTCTCTACAAACCAATAGACAGTCGAACTTTGAAATCCGTATTAAACTGTAATACCAAAACCTATATGAATTGAAAAGCTGCTTTCAAACTGTTCATGAAATATCTAACATTAACCCACCTGCATTATTAAGCCGTACATCCATTTCGAAAGTTTTAACTCAATTGCAGACCGGATCAAAGTAATTTCCGCGATGGAATCAAATTACAAATTACAAACTCCCTTAAGAAAAACTACCAGTTTGTTCTACACGTTCGTGGATAAATTTTATTAGCAGTAAATTATCTTTAAGGATATTTGCATGCTTAAACTTTATTTATATTCGTCTTTATGTGCTTATATATATATATATATGTGTGTGTAGGAGAAACGTGCGATTGTACTAAAAAGTGTACAATCGCACGTTTCTCCTACGCCAACGAAAAACCAAATTCCAATCGAGTTGCGAAGCCTCAGCCCCGATATATCTCGATTACGAAATCACCCTCGATCAGATACGATTCTTCGATTCCGGGGCTCGACGTCAGCCCCACCTCGCGTCGGAGCGTGGAAACAATCAGCAAGAGTAAAGAAGATGAAGTTGTGAATATTTATAATGGCCGAGATGGTTCGTTACACCGTGGAGTAGAGCTCGGCTGGGCTCGGTTCGGCAGAGGGCACGGTAAACAAAGAAAGGGGCCTGGATTTTCCGTCGGGACTGTACCCTGGCGTGCACCTGGTGCTCCAAGGGCCCCATACAAAATGGCAGCTCCCCCTTCGCAGCCTGGGAATAAAGAGGGACAATACTTTCACCCCCTCGTTCCCTAAGCGCAGGAGGGCTTCGTCCTGCCAGCCGCTTCACCGCCGCCGACCGCGACTCCCTCTTTCTCTCTCCCACTCCCCTTATATACCTATCTCCCCGCTCTCTCGCTCGGGCTCCGCACGCCAAATGTCCCAAACTGACACGAGCCATCGGGAAACCGAACTACCGCCAGCTACCGGCCCCAAAACGAATCTTCAACGAATTGCCACTCGAACGACCGTATCAACGATTTTAACGATCCCGAATGTTCCGCGCGTATATCCTGACTTCGAAATCGGTCGCGGGTGGAGGTTATGTCCCCGTGTCGAGTTTTTAGATATTTTAATTACCCTCCATTGACTGCGCTGCAGTTTATTGGCCTCTCGCGAATGATCTCGGCGGCGGTCGTTACGCGAACGACTTATTATTGCTAGTAGAGTTATAAATGCGGTGGACTGAGAAAAAATAGGATAAAGACATTCCCTCGCGAGCTGGGAAATTGGCGCCAGTCCCTGAAAGGGATATAAAATACAACAGTCTGTGATGTTACGACTTGTTATTTTTTTCTTTCCTAAGTTGTATATCGCGTTCCTTTTACCGACTGGCGCCTATTTCACGGCTACTCTTCTCTCGACGTATATTATGTAATTACCGGATATATTATGTAAATTACCGGAGATTGATTTCTCTCGAGTCATCTTTTATTCCAGAAAATTTACGAGAATGTATAGATGCTCACGTCTTGAATGGAATGAAAATTAATTTCTAACTAGAATCTTTACTTCGATTAATGTATACCCTATGTATGGTTGGTATGATTGATGAAGACTCGAGTAAATTGGTGAATTTTACCCTCAAATTTCTCTTACCTCAAGTTCCACAATAATGTTGGGAATTAAAAAATTCTATATAATTCCTGATAATTATGGCATTTCAATGGAAGATGTATGGAATGCATCAGTCAAACTTTGATAGCAAATATTGATTATGAATCCCCTCATGAATTCGCAATAAATTCTCCCATTACATAGGTGCTATACGGTACTTTTTCTTCGTTATTCCTACGCAATTGGATAATTTTCTGTTCTTTTTTAAATACTACTGAGTAAGGAAGGGAGGAGAAAAAATGGCGCGATTAAGAGTTCGGACTTTTTGGAAGAAATTAAATGCTGAATTTGATGCACCTGATCACGCGTGCACATTAAAGGACTGGAAGGATATCGCGTGAAAAGTTTATTGATGCAAATGATTTTCTTCCCGGCAAAAGGTGATCTCTTTTTGTTTTCTCTCATTTCTTCGAACGCTTACCGCCGGGACCGACCGTATATTTCCACATAACGGTTTTGCCCCACCTATCACCCACACATACGTAATCTACTTTTCGTATGTATAATATACGTATCCTATTTTTATTTCTATTCCAGGAAGTGGACCAACAGCTCCGATTTACTTTCCTCTGGTAACTAAAATAATGAATTTATATTCTATAAAAATACAAGTCCACAACTGTTACGCCTTTCACTGCTTTTCGAGTCAACTCGAAGACCAGGTCGGAGAAGAAAGAGAAACGTATCATTGGTAAGAAAGCTTTTTTACAAGAATTGTTATGATCTAGAAATTTGATGTTACTAGGCACAGGATATAAAAAAAAAAAGATCTTACATTTAGTACCATCGCGTTCGAAGAAACGAAAGAGACTTGAAATGCATAATGCGAAGAAGACAAGGTGTATTACCCCGTATTATCTTTTGACGAACCAATCATAATACACTTCCAAAACATAATCATGTTCACTAGCCAACTAATGACAATATACCATTCACTTTGAAAATTAATTTAAAAAATAAAATAAAAGTGTATAAAAACTCTATCAAAGAAAATGATTAGTCACTCTCGTTTTTCTATGAATTTACCAAACATCCAGAGATTTTCAAAACAATTAATTCGCCACGATACTCGTAAACAAACCCCTAGGGCATGTTGCAATATAGCGACATTTTGGAAGGAGTCAAAACTGATATCCATGGGAGTACACCTCGTTTTCTTTGCATCATGCTGAAGCGGAGGATCAAAACTTACCACATGAAGTTGTAGATCTCCGAGACGGGCAAAGAGCCCGTCTGGCTGTTCTTGAGGGCCATGGCTATCAAGCAAGAGTAAGAGTACGCAGGCTTGGGGTAAGGCTTATCATCGTAATCGGACAACTCGAAGTCCTTGTCCCTCTTGACCGAGGAGACCGTCGTGGCGCCAGGACTATGTACATTGTTGTTGTAGATCTGCTTCCGGACGTGCTGGGTCTGCGGGGGACTCTGGACGACCTTGAAGCCTTGTAGCCTAATGCTGGAGATAGGATTCGCCTTCTGGCTGGCCTGGTGGGCCTTCGACTGGGGCGATAAGGCCTTGATAGTGACGCCAGGTGCCGTCTGGGGTGACTTCGGCTTCGGGATGCTTTCGGGCTCTTCCTCCTGCTCGTCCTCGGACTCGTCGTCTTCGGTCTCCGTGATGTCGTTCTCGTACCGGTCGTTCTCATAGTGCTCCATGTCGGCGTCGTTCTCGGTCTCGTTCTCGTCATCGAGGTCCACCTTCTCCTCTTTTACTTCCACCTTCGGCGAGAAGACAAAATGCCGGCGATTGCTTCCGGGCGTTGGACTGCGCACCGCCATGTGGGGCATCACCGAATTTGGGTTCACCATTATCGTCGCTGCGTCTCCCCCGCTAAGGTCCAGGTTGAAATTACTGAAACAGTGAAACAGTTCAGATAAGGATGCTGTATATTTTTTGTAATAATAGGTATTCGTCGAGAAATGATATACGGGGCATCAAAGATTTAGGACACCTCAGGGTGACCAGGGTAACAAGGCCCACGATTATTTTTCATCGTAAAATAAAAATGTTAACTCCACCGTACAGGGAATAAGGCCCAACGTTGTACCGTACAGCACAACTAAAGGTCTTCATCAGAAAGGATAGACTAGTTGTAGGAAATACAATATCACGACAAACATTCGAACAAGTACCCCAAGAAAAATGAAACCTGGTAGCTCAAAGAAGACCAAGAACTGGTAATGCAGCCTTTACCAAAAAAATAGGGTTGCCGATATGCAGAAATGTGCCCTATGTAAGAAATGGCTCCGCGAAGAACACCGGAGGATAACATTCGAGGACCTCGACGACATAACTTGCCCTAACTGTGAAAATTAATGATCAGACTAAGTTGGATCTCCCCCCCGATGTCCATAGGCCTTATTAACCACTCGAGCAGGAAACAAAGCCCAGTAGCATCATACAACAATTTTCTAAATGACGTTTCTTTCTAAAATTCTATTTTATTTTTACCGTTTGCTCATTTCCCCTTTTGAAAATACTTGATATTTTAGTAATTTACAAGCCTTTCAAGTTATGATCGACCTTATTACCCCGAGTTGCCATACATTTCCTGCTTCTTAATCCATGATCATTTTCAATTCACCAGCCTCCGGGGAGCAGGTCAGGTTCTACGGGAATTTTGTTACCAATTGATGAAACGTTAAAGCGTAAATAAGTCGGTGGATGAAGTAAGACGACTCTTACCTGTTGGAGCTATTGCTATTCCCGTTGAGCAAGCTCGTCGAGCCGAACCAACCGTTGAAGTCGGCATGACACCCAACAGGATCGTCGTCCAGCTCCAAGGGCGAGAGATCGGTGAAATTGAAGCCTAACTCCGGATGCCCGCCGATGACACCCTCGATCTCGCACTTGATGTCGACGTCCAACATCTCCTGGAGGGAGAGACTGTCGGTGCCCAAATAATAGTCCATCGTGAGCCAAGGGTCCCTCGTCGGTCCCTGATCCAGCCCAGTGCTGTGCCTGCTCTCGGTATCCAACATTCACACGACTGGAAGAATAAGACACCACCATTAGGAACCTTACCATAAACGGGGACCACTTATTATATTATTTGCAAATTCGCCCAAGAGCACATTTCTGGGAACGAGCTGTAATGGGTTCTTTCGCAGATGGAATTACGATGGAACCGAAGTCCCTACATTATCGCATGCAGTGGTCGCAGCGAAGGAAAGAGTCTTGCGGAATCTAAACCTACATATTTCGTCGTAATTCATAATTACGCTACGTCGGTGGACAGGTATAGCTGACCGTTTTTCTTTATTTGCCGCAATCTAGAGAGTAATGCACGGTCATTTTCGAGAGTTTAACTTGTACCACGCACTCGATCCGCCCTCTATAAATTTATATCATTTCAGGATCTACGTGGGGAAGGAAACAACGCGGAAGACGCCCAAGGACCGCGACTCAAGAACCAGCCTGTAAACTCCTACAATCGTAGATCTCATATCCCTTATCTCGGGATGAAGCGATAATTGATATCGTACACAAATGTTTGTAGCAAATATATAAGATGTTAATTATCAAAGAAACCTGTAGAGTGTACGGTTCTTACAAATTCTCAAGAATTATTATTCCATCTCTCTTTTAAACTTTCAGCGCAACAATGAAATATAACTAACACTCAAACTATCTATTAAGGGGATGTGAAAGTGGCATCGGAAGAGTCAATCCTTCACGAAACTTTTCTCCGGACTGGGTGTGCCGAATCGTTTCGAACTTCACGACGTGAATGTGGAGAGGCTACAAGGAAGGTCCTGACACTCGGGAAATTTCATTTCTTTTTTTCAAACAAATTCTAAACATATCTGTGAACAAATTTAAACAAAATTGAAATTTCATGAGTTTCAAGACCTCCCTTATACCCTCCATATTTACATCGTACAGGTTGAATCGATTTAGTATATCCGGTTTGGAGAAAAGTTTCATAAACGAGACCTCTTATACGTCACTTTCACATCACCTTAGGAACAATTCTTACGATCCCTCGACTCTCATCAGAGCCCCATAGCAAAGCTGGGAAATGAAATGAGAATATTCAGCACGACGAACCATTGGTAAAACGCAACCATTCAAGGGATGTCGAGGAAAGACAGAAAAGAGCACCGTAAAATCGCCCAGATAAATTCCGACCGACGAAAAACATCACCACGTGGATTCGCCTCCGAACCATTCCGTTCGAATCACTCGATCGTCTACATGGAGTGATTCCCGACTCTCATTGGAGCCTTTGAACAAAGTAGCTAAATGAAATTAAAATGTCCAGCACGGTTCTCGAGCCGCAACGCGCTCGCATGCAAAGGAGGGACACGAAAGGCCAGCTAGCGGAGACAAAAGGGCGACTCGGGGCCGCATAGTCCGGCTTTTTGATCGGGCCCGAAATATCGGCGACGCCCCAACGAAGGAGCGGCAAAACACCCCGGAGGATTCTCGCGTTCCCCGGCATATTCGCCTGAGCATGTCTCTCTCTCTTCCCCTCCTTCTCCCGCGGCGAGGATCTCAAGGCAAGGCCAATATCTTCTCGGTTGTGGCGAGCACGGGAGCGCGTACGTGTGACCTCGCGTGCAGTCGACGTCGACTGTGAGCGTACAACCGAGGGTCTTGAACCCACAACCGGCTCGTGGGTGTGACTGACTCATAGTACTATAGCTGATTTACTATAGAACGTGGTGGTGGAGTAGTAGTACTCCGTCGAGTGACTCGCTCCGGCGGATTCTCTCTCTCCTCGCCGAGACGCACTCGAGGCGCGCTACGCCCTGCTGTAATATGCTAAATAGTAGGCTGCCACGATGGCTCGCAGCACGATGCCCTACTACGCATACTAAATTGTCAGCTGTGGAACTGACCCTTCTAGGTGCATCCTCGCGACAAAGTGCGCTGCGAAGGATTTTCACGAGTCCGCCGCTCTTACCATCGGTATTAAGGCGAAGTGAAACATCCTTCAAATCAGTCGATTCGAATACAACACTTTTTTTTAAAGGTATTAGACCAAACTGTCCGAAACTTTGACACATCACTCCTGATCATCTAAGAATTGTCCTGACACATTTAAAATTTGGATTTTTCAAAAAAATTTTTTAACTCATCATATTTCGATCAATATACAATTATCGAAGGCTCTGATATGAGAATCGAAAGGGTCAGGACAATTTTACGACAATTTAGAACACTCTGGTAATCGATAAACTCGCATTTGAACGGGATAAAGGCAAAAAAAGTGTTGTATGCGCTTCTTTGCTAAAACGATGGTAATACGAGGTCTCGGAATGAAAATTTAATTGACCTGGAAATCACAGATGGCGCAGGGGGTCCCTCCGCAGTCAATTAGGGCCCCAGAAGGCACGAATCCAGAGGATTTCTGGAGTTTTACTTCGAATTCTTTATAATTATTGTACGAAAACGACAGGTGGAATATGCCATTTGGTACAATACACAATATAGTTCGACCCAGCTGTCAATATAAAAACGAACGTCGGCAACGTAGGCATTTAGAAAAATCTTCTTTATCGACGTTGATCAAGTTTCTCGACGTGTTTCACTTCACCTTAAGGTGACGAATTATATTGGATTACGATTACGAATTATACTGTGTCGAATTATATTGGATATTGTACCAAATGGCATACTCCACCTGTCTAAAAATTCCAAATTTTGAATGTATCAGGACAATTCTTAGATGATCAGGAGTGCTGTATCGAAGTTTCGGACTGTTTGGTCTAATACCCTTAAAAAAAGCGTTGTATTCGAATCGACTGATTTGAAGGGGGTTTCACTTCACCTTAACCGAGGGGTTATTCCCTCAGGAAATCCTGGAATTTAATGCTGTAAGACCTGCCATGTATGTTTCGGGTTCATTAGGATAATGATGTAAGCGAGGGTTAAGTATGAATCGCTTCTTGCCTTCTGTTCATGCGTTATGATATATGCTAAGTGTATTTCCGGGGCATAGCTATGGTGGTTAAGATAAACTGCAGGAATGGTGCACCTTCGCGGCGAGGCACGAAGATGCACCGTTTCTTCTCTTCTATTTATGCATCACGAGGCACGGGATTGATCTTTCAGAGAGAATAAGTACATTTCGTGCATCCTCGATCAACGATCCTTCCTATGCAGCGCTTCGATCTTCCAACGCTATATCGAGGCTCGAGCTGCCGCGCGACAGATTTTGGAATTTCGCCGTTCGCAGCATCGGATCGTTTCTTGCGTTTAGTTTTTCGCGCCATGGGACTTGAAATTAATCCTTAGAAGATTATATCATCCTTTCAAGTGCACTTCGAAGTGCTCCAGCCTTGAAACTCTATGTCGAAGCTACGGCAACCGCGCGCAGATTTTGGAATTCCGCCACCCGCAGGACCGGACGCAGCATGTGGATCGTTTTCTTGCATTCCGTTTTTGCATCATGAGACAAGGAATTGATCCTTGAGAGAAAATACAACCCCTTTCAGGTGCACGCGCGGCGAAGAACGTAAAAGAGGTGTTCTCCACGTGGCGAAGTGGGAATAATTTATCAAAGTCTACTTTTGTCTTCACCTAGGCGTTAGTATACCAGCGTTTAAGAATACGCGTTACGCACCCTATTCATAGTTATCATAAAGGTTCGCCATATTAGGCCATCGCTACTTTTTCCCCTCCCTAAAAAACATGTCTCAAGCCGCCACTATCTGTTAACCTCCACCATCCGTCCACACCTAGATTCAGCACTTTTTTTCACACCGCGAAACAGACAGATAAACGATATCTCTCCTGTTAGCAAACTAAAGCTATATTTAACGTGCTAGCTACTCGGATCGAGCGACGGCACTACGAAATGGTAAAAACAACGGAATCCATCCACTGCGGCCTGATTTAAAAAAAGAAAAAAAAACACTCTTAAAAATGGATCGCCAACGATATCTCTCATATGGAGAGCCGCCTCGAATTTCGTAATTGTCCACCAGGGCCCCGGAATCCCGTTAACCGGGGTCGGAAGTATTACGGGACTCGCTAAATATTTTCCTTTTATTTTTTAAGATATATTTTGGTTTTAAATGTAACATACTACATGTCTTTAGCAAGAGTGATTCATTCCTGCTATGCGTTCAATTATTACTTCACGGGTATATTTTCGTAAAATTTAATCTTGCATATGCCAATGCACGTATTTGGCAAAAGTAACTGATTTCATTGTTTCTGTGCGATTACTCGGCACTATATGGATATCACCTTTGCAAAATATGCTTTTCAAGTTGGATGTATTTGGCGCAAGATTTTTTTTTTACACCGACGGTGCTTCTGTGGCGTCCGTTAACCCGGGCTCGGAATGTAACAGTATCGAATGCCGGTTAACAATGTGCCAACTAAAATATGAACGAAGCAAACCGGGATGACCGTCTCGGCGTATCTCGACGTGAAATTTCTCTCGGTGCACTCTACCTCGTTGCACCGAGGCACTAGTGTCCCGTTAAACAAGGGAAATAAGCGCCTCGAAGAGCCGAGGCTCGGCTGCGAGTTCGCTCGGCAACTTTTCGGGCCGCAGAGCACTGCATTATTAAAATACACGGCTCCGTGAAAGATAAAACATGAAACACAGAATATGAAACAGTGCCATGGGTTTAGGCGGAAATCGGACGAGAATGGACGAGAGGAGAAAAATGTGGCAGACTTTTTTCGCGTTTACTTTCCCCCCTTTGTTAGTATATTCTTCCCGAGAGGGCGCCCTCGGCCGACAGAGAGGTGTCTGTAAGTGCCGTCACTATTAAACAAGCCAATCTCGATGTGAACGTTCCCTTCCCGATAAAAACTCAAGGAGGATGTACGGAGGAGGTAAAGAGAGGATTTCCTCAATACGGCACTGTACTCGAGCCGAGTATCGGAGTCGTACTCGAAAACAGACGGGAATAAAACTAAGTGGCGGGCCCAAGGTTGTTCTTATTTGACGGCAATGCCGGATCCGATGCCGCTCCCCCAAGGAGACGAACCTCTAATGAAACCGCGAAACTGCGAAACTGTGAA